ATATATATATATATATATATATATATATATATATATATATATATATATATATATATATATATATATATATATATATATATATCTGTGTGTATAAATAAGTAAATGAGGCTGATGCTGCACCGATTTATTAAAATGATAGGTGAAATAAATAATTACGAACCAGTAATCTGCATGTGTAAGTTTAAGTCTAGGCTGGGCCAGAGTGATCTGTCGCTCTCTAATGACAAAGGTCAGCACCTCTTCATCACTCAGGTGTCTGTGGGGCTGCGCACCAAACTCAAAAAGCTCCCAGATCACTACCCCCAAAGACCTACAAAAAAGAGAAAATAAGCATCAAATGATTAGAAATTCTGTGAAGAGAATGAGTAATTGTTGACTCCTAACTTATAAACAGGGCAATGTTTAAATAAAAAGAGCAACAGTTATGAAACTATTGTTTTTGTCCAATTAATGGAGTGTTCTTTGTCTCTTATAAGGTGAATAGCATTAATATGAATTAACAATTCTAGTTTTTGTTATTTAAGTTGATGTCTGGAGAGCACGAATTCCCAGTTGTTGATTTGAGAACCCCTTTTAGTATTTGTTGATCTTTAAACCAAACTTCTGGTTTTTTATGCTCTTGTACCTTTCACTTTTTACATCCTAACGCTGATGGAGAACATGGAGAAATTGCTATGAGTTTAACATATAACATTTTCATTTTGAATTTTCAGACAAAATATTTAGCGTTTATGATATTGTGGATATTTGAGTGCAAAACATTTACCTGTTTAGTTTTTTCCGTGTATTTTATTCCACACCAAGATCACTTCCAAATTAGGACAATTAAAAGGTTATTTTATAAACTTTATATTAATATTTTAAATTAGGGTGAGGTTAAATCAGTTCAAATCAATGATTCTTTGAAGAATTTGGCTAAAAGCTGGCTAAAAGCTAACAGTTTCGTTTTTTTGTTTTTTTTACAAAACAGAAGGGGAACTTCAATTTGTTTTTCATATAAAATAAACAGCTCAGCAATGTTTATTCAATAAAAAAAAAACTGGAATTAAAGAATCAAGAGCAGAGGTGTTAATAGTGGGGCTTCAGAGTGATTTTGTGCAGCAACCGACCTCCATTTATTCAGCACTTTTTTTCAAAGTATTTTTGAAAGTGAGAAAAAACAAGCTAACATGCTATTCCTACATGGTAAATGTGTACTGTTTTTTCTGTGTAAGGAAGTGGATACAAGAGACAAGCAAATTTCCCACACTGTCTCTAATCAAATAAAAAATTTGATTATGATTTCAAGGTTTAAAGTTGATAACATAAAAAAAACAAGGCTGGACAGGGGCCCGAGGTTGTGTTTAACCATAGGCTTTCAGCAAGATATCGAGGAAAGTTCATGGATCTCGAAAGCTCATCTTTAAAAATTAGCTTTAGTAAGTTTCCTGTTTCGAAATCTACTTGAGCAAACTAAGTTGGATTTATTTTAAGGGTTCTTGAGCATCTTTACCCATGGTACCAGTAAATATGGAAGGATCTGCTATGGATTTTTCACAAAACAATTGTCTCATACAAGTTAGTTTTTTTTCTGAGTATTATATCAAGAAAAACCCACCACACATTGCTGGTTTTGGTTTGGTCTGTAACAATCAGAGATCCTCTGTATTCTTCCAGCAGCTCAGGAGCAATCCACCGCAGAGGGATCCACAGCTTGTCTGGAGTCAGGTAATAATCCTCCTTTAGAAAAAAATGCACCAATATATTATCTACACTGTTTAATATGTTCACTTTTAGAGGACTACCAATATAGGTTAACAGACCTTGTAGTGGTTGTGCGAGAGACCGTAGTCACCTATTCTGACAGTGAGGTCTGAGGTCAGAAGGCAGTTTCTTAAAGCCAGGTCACTAAAGACAAAACACAGAAAAATATCAGATATTCTCATTTATGTGCATTGCTTAAAAAAATCTAGGTGACATTAAATTCCCGACTGACCTGTGGATGTAGTTGTTTTCGTGAAGATGCAGCAGACCTGATGTGATCTCAAAGGCCATCCTCTGAAGAGTCAACAGGTCCCTGGTTGGCAGGTCTGGAGTCATTCCATCTGCCTTCCTCTGGGCACGCAGGTAGCGCTTCAGGTCACCCTAAGATGTACAACACAAGCAGTTTATGTCTAGCAGAAGGATTAGTCAACTCAGTTTGTCTATATACATGAGCATTTTGAAGCAAAGCAAAAATCTGTTGCAATGCTGAGTATGAGAGAATCCTGCAGTAAAGAAACATACATTTTTAGACATTTTCCATCCCAGGGCATCAAAAGCAACACAGGGATTAGTATTGATCTTGAAGCCTTTTTAGCATTCATTTGTGTTGCAAGGAGCAAAAGAATACAATCCAGATGGAAAATATTCACAGAAAACATAGAATAGGAGTCTTTTTCAGAGGACATCAGTGCAGTTTGGATTCTCTCACTGTTGTAATTGGGATTGATCTGCTTGTTTCCTTGTTTGACCTGAGAGTCCACTCCTAAGGCTGCGCTAATGAGTCACAGATTGTTCTAGCTGAGAAACAGGAAAACAAACCGACCTAAACAATAGATCTTCTACAGTTTTCCTGATAAGGACACGGCAGAGCATTCCTCATGCAAGGTAGAAGAAGATGTTTTTTAACTACTTCTGGATGAAAAGCAAATTGCACATAAAATACGGCAGATATAAAGCTTATGGAATTATCTGCTATTTAAGTCAAGTTATTTATTTTCTTATATGAAAGGGACAGCTTAATTATTCATCCTTCTTCATATCTTTTCAAATTTTGTCAAATTACGCCAAGAAAACTGCTAGGTACATTTGGAATAGATTTAAAACGGAGTAAGGCTTTGAAAAAAAAAAATCACTATTGAACTTCCCAAGGAACATTGTTCACTCAATTATCAATCAAAGGAAAAAACTCTGACATGTGTGAGAAATAGGGGATTTAAAAAAGGAGCTGCAGAAAGCAAAGATTGTGACTTTCATAAAATTTGCTTTTATGAAAGAGGGACAAGAAACAAATTATAAGACGTCAAATTAGAGTCACAGCGAGTGTGAAGTAAAGTTCTCTGCTTAGAAGAAAATTTATGCTTTTTTGCCTACATTTAGAATGTGTTTGGGTAAACCCATAATGACGCATAGCGGTGGTCATAACATGCTGTGGGATTGTTTTCTTTGTTCTTTTTTTTTTTTATGTGACAACTAATTAAATCAATTTGCAAAGAACAATTTGGAAAAGAAATCACAAAAATATACAGAGCTGGTAAAAAATGCTGCAAAACATTAATGGGTTGTAAGGTACTTTGAAGTATCTAGTTGTGACCACCTGAATACTTTAAAAAGCAGTGTATCTCCCATGGCGCCCCATATTTACTGTAGCTTTATTCAATCTTAACACTTGCCCTTACCAGCTGACAAAACTCCATAACCAGGAGAAAGGGGATGCTCTCACTGCACTGCCCTAAACATTGGAGGATGTTGGGATGCTTCAGGCTCCTGAAAGAGGAATAACAGAAAAGAAAAAATGTTTAATTATGTTATTGTTCACAACTATGATGGTGATAGAAAATTATGAGCATGTATAGATAAATCAAAAAATTAATAACTGCAACAATGTGCTCTTCTTAAGCATATTTTGATTTAGTATTCTTGGATTCATTTACGGTATGCCACCAATTATGGTGAATTAGATAAACCTGATATAAAGTTGGCTCTCCTTGAAAGATTTTCCTGGCGTTTCCTAAAATGATCTATATTCATAATGATAAGGACACAAGAAAGGAGAGGTCTGCCGTTCTGGTCCTGGAATACACTTTACTGTAGATGCATGCCTGCTGCAAGCCAGATAAAGAGCTGCATTACTACCTTAGTGTAACGATTTCTTAGATTCATAGTTTGTTGGAGCAGGGATGCATTAAAAGTTTCTGAAAAGTTGCTCTTGTGGTCATCTGTATTGTTGGGTTTTGATCAGACTAGTTGAGGTTGGTCAGCATGGTCACTGAAGCACCCAAGTATTTAAAGATATTGAGGAGGATGTTCTGTTTTCGGGTGGATAATCTAAATAAATGGTCCTCCTAATTGTCAATCATTCTGGTGATATGTTCAAATAAGGCTGTTCTACGTGCTCGTCCCCATTTTCACTTACCAATGGTGAATCTGACATAGTGGAAAAATTGCAAATCTTCTTTTGAAAGTAAGCTTGTATGAAGGATGCAAACAGCAACTTTTAAACAGAGCGTGCACGAGGAGAAATGGGCTTGTGCATGCTCTTGCACATGTTTAATAGGCGTTCCCTCTCGGGAGCAGGTGCAGTGTTAGTGCATGTGCATTTTTTTAAGTGGGGAGGGCAGGTTTTTAAAAAAACTGTGCAAAAATCTACTAGTATACATTTAATATCTCATTTTTCTTTACACCACAAAATTAGAGGCTATTTTTTGTAAAAAAAAAAATGTCCTGCTACAGTACAAGAACATCCCATTTTGTTTTTTGTTTTTATCTTGTGCAGCTTCTCCCACCTGTACGGCTCTGACTCAGCCAGGAACTTCCTCTGTTCCAGGGGGCTGGCGCTCACACGCAGCTCCTTCACCACAGCCTGGGAAGAGCCGCAGTCACACAGCACTTCAGCCAGGATCACCTGCAAATGATTGATGGACAAAAACATGCAAGAAAGCCCAGGATCAGACGGCCGATCAACACTGTTGCCTGACTTTTGATTTGCAATGTAAGCAGTGGACAGGATTAAACCGGAGCCCACCGGAGAGGAACAAAGTCGATGATGTTGGGGATTATGAAAAACTTCAAAATGTATATTAAAAGGCAGTCTTCTTACCTTTCCAAACCATCCATTTCCGATCTCCTGGAGGTAATTTAAAGCGTGTCTTTTAAAACACTGAGATTTGGAGTCTGTGAAAAAGACATAAATAAAGGAGGTCAGCACCTGATATTATTTCTGTATTTTGTAACTCTTATAAAAAAAAAGCATATCTGAAAAAAACAGATAAAGATACAAGAACTTAATTTTCTGCATCTTTATGCTCTGAATCTAAAATGCTGATTATAGACATTTAAAATAAAATATATGCAATAATCAAATACATATCATGGAAAAGATCTTAATCAAGGGAGCTATGAATATTGATGGCTGCTGAACTTGGATTGTTTATGAAAAACTCCCTCTGCTTCTTGAATTCAAATTCTAACTCATTTCTTGCTGCACTGTAGTGATTGGTGGCATTTATACTGTTAACAATAAACTTATCAATAAATAAACTGTTTATGTTCACAGTTAATGTTTTATTTATCTGATTTGGCTTTTCTATAATGGGAAACATTACAGCACATAATCCTAGGATAATAATAGAAAGAAATTATATTCAAACATTAACCTTAAAGGAAAAAGTACAACACTTACTAAGTAACAAAAAAGTTAATATTTTCTTTTTATTTCACAACTGAATTGATCAGATTTAAAAAAAAAAAAAAAAAAAGGGCACAACAAAAGAAAACGGAGCACTTAAAACTGCATTAGTAGATCGATAAGATAAGTTAAGATAAGATAGACACTCCAGGTCCACTCTCTCCTTTTGTGTTCTATTAAATGATGGCAGGTCAAGAGTAATTCACACCTTTATACCTTAATGAGAATAACAGAGAGTCCAAAGTCATCTTGAGAAAAACCTGGATGAATATTACTCATGACATTTTCTAAAGATTTTAAGAAATTGTGTCTCATTGAGAGGAAGGATAAAGAAATTAATTATGTAAACTACTGTTTAATTTTAGGTCAAATGCAAAATTTTGCCTATTATACATCTAATATTTACTTGCATTGCATTGATGCTGTTTTTATTCCAGTTAGCAAATGAGGAAAAAGCTGCTTAGAACTTTGGCAGGTTACCAGTCCAACACCTGGCAACATAGAGACAAAGTACCATGCACACACAGGCAATTTACGTATGAAGAAAAATTAAGCTAACAAGTTAGTTTGGAAGGAAGCCAAAGTATCCCCATATGCACAAACACATGAACTCCAACAGAAGGCTCCAGTCTGGATTCAAAGCCAGTCTGTTCTTTCTCCAAGGCAACAGTGCTAACCCTTTTGACCAAAAAAGGTGTTTCTCCTTATCTTGTTTTATATATGTTAGAGGTCAAATATCTGGTTCAAAAGAAATTTATAAGAAACATCTCTTTAAATAGACTGACACCATGGCCTTTAAAAAGATGCATTCCTCCTTAATGTGTCTGCCCAAACGTCCCATGTGTGCTGCTCAAACTGAGCACTGATGCAGAAGCATCCAGGATCATAGTTTCCACTTCGCTTATATGTGAGGCAGGGAGCCCAGTGCTCCTGGCTGTGCACTCGCTTTGAGACCTTTAATGCATCCACCTCAGTGGCTTAGGCAGCGGACCGTGAGGAAGTTTTGAACAAGCAGGACAGTAGGCATCTTTGTTTTTTTTAGGGGTCAAGTACAAGTAGGAGAGTCCAAAAACGGTGTACCTGCTCCATTCTGCAGGGCATGACAGTTTGGGCGATCTCTGACTGGCAAGGTGTAGACTTCAGGGAGGGAGGGACATGATGACAGGCTGTCCTCCTGAATGGGACTGGAGCCTCCAGAGCATTCCTCTCCATCTGTATTGTCAAACTCCTGGTTGGGTCAAAAGAACATAAAAGTTAAATCACACCATGTTAACAACATACTGGGTTTTTACACAACATTGTCCTCTAAAAGTATTTATACCACCAACTATTTCATATTTTGTTGAGGTATATAAAACTTAATGTATTTCTTTTGGCTGTTATGTGCTCTGGTCGGATGGTATCAGTGTAACTAGTTGGTCAAAGAGCATAATGCTGTTTACCTTGTATGAATAAAATCCACCATTATGGGATAGAATGTCATGTAGATGTAATAAACACAAACAACCAAAATAGTGTTCCTACAATAGTCGTACTTATTGTCCTCTGCTTTATCTAGGACCGCGTCGCAGAGCACAGCAGTTTTAGCAATGCTATAGTTTCACAGTTTCCATTTTTTTCCAGGGGGAAACTGTCTCTGCCGTGGCTGTTTTTTGTACGCAGCACTCCTTAGTAGGGCTGAAACAATTAATCAGATTAATCATGATTAATCAATTATTGAACTAATTTAGTAACCAATTAATTGTTAACCAGAGTATAGAGACTGTAAAAAATGCCTTTAGCTGACAGAGCAACCCACTTAAAGCAGCAATTATACCAAGATTGTAAAAAGAATATATGAATATTTTGCATTTAAGATAAAAATAATCTTTTTCATCTGTCAATATGCTCTATGCAGTACTCCTCAAGTGGAAAAGTCTTATTGTCACCTGTTTGATTTTGTCAAAACATCTTCTTTGGCTATCCGATTATTAATCGACTAATTTGAAAAAATAAGTGACAAATTAATCGATTTGCAAAATAATGGTTAGTTGCAGCCTCTGTAGGTTAATCCTAGACCTGTACACTCCTGGATGGAGAGATCGGCACTAATTACAGTAAGCAATGTACTGAAGTTTCCATCTAAAACATTTACTGATTTCAATTATTTCAAAAAATCCTCTCGTACTTCCCTTTGCAAAGGCTTGTTTATCCAGTTGTGCTCTGTATAACTTTGTATTCACTAATGGGAAACTTGCTCTAAAAGGTTAAAGAACTTCTGGTTTTAATATGTAAATTAACTTCAAATTCAGGCTGTCTGAGCTTAAAGTATTTTGGAAAGGAGGAAAAGGTGAAAATACAAACAATGCTGGTAGAGACATTGTCAAAAATACACCTTACAAAGGAAGGTGTTTCTACTAAATATCAACCAAATGCATTCCACACTTAAAATGTCTCTTCCTTTACCTTCAGAATCAAATACTCCTTTGAACTGATCTATCACATGAGATCCCATTAAACCACTTTAATTTCTGTAGCCGTAATGCAATTAAATGTAGTTAAGTTATAGAATAAATATGTTTTTAACTCTTAAGCCTAGAAAATGTTTTTCTCTCACCAAATGGCATTGCTTGCACTCCATAAAGCATGAATACAATCTGGTCAAAATATCAAAACTTTGCAGGGACTGAACTAACATCTTATTCCATGAGGTTGGATTTTTTTTTTTCTTTACCCCTGTTGTAACTCGTCATGCAGTAAATGTCAGTGGCATGCACAAAAAAAGCAGAGAGGTGGATAAATCTCTTACATCTTGAAGACTTACATTGAACCCCACGCCTCCTCTCTTACAGCAAAGACAGGTGAGGAGCAGCAGAACGAAAGAGACGAGCCCCGAGCAGGAGATGAGGATGATGACATATGGTGGAGGAGAGAGGGACTCTGCCCTGGTCTGAGAAACTGGACAGAAATAAAAACATAAGAGAAGAAAACTTTAAAGTAAATGGGGGTTCTAGGTACATTAAAAAAGATGTGTTTATCACAAAAAGTTTTAATATTTTGTTGTTACTTATTTCAGAAAATGAAATGATTATAGCGTAAATATTTCAAGGCTTTATTAACTGTATTATTGAGAAGAGCGGCTTACAGGTCATGGAAACCCAAAATTCAGAGCCCTAAAAAATGGAATAGCACATAAGGTCATTTAACAAGGATATTCAAAACAGAAATGCCAGGTTTTAAAAGTAAGTTCCTTTCTATCCACTAACATTCTGCATGATTCATTGCAGGGTGGCATGGAGCAGATCAGCCTGTAAAATGTTATGGAAGTCCAGATTATTTGATATTGATCTTGTGATCATCTGTATTGTTGGGTTTGGATCAGATTAGCTGAGGTTGTCAGCATGGTCACTGAAGCAGATTTTGGTACCTTTTGTCCTGCTGGAAAATGAAATCTGTATCTTCATAAATCTTTTCAGCAGACTGAAGCATGGAGTCGACTGTGGACTTTATAAAACACAGATTGTGGAAACTTCAAACCACACAGCTTCTCTTCCTCTCCACTTTTCCTTGGAAACTCTTGGGCTTTTATTTCCAAATAAGATTAAGAAAATGCAACCAATATCAGACGATGAGGCCCATGTTTAGGATCGGTCTATGCAAAATGATTCACTGTCATTTCCCTGAAATTCTGGCATGGGTTTTGCCTGACAGTCATCTCGACAAAGAGGTCAACACTACGACACTTCTTCCTTCCACTCAACTTCTCCGGGTATGCTAGCGGGAACCTTTTGAGGCTAACCCTCCTTAAAGAGGGTGTCAGTGATTGCTTTCTGGTCACCAATAAAGATAAAACTCTTCCTAATGATTGTGAATCCCATCGACTCAGAGTGAGAGACCAATTAGAGGTTTGGGAAACCTTTGTAGTGTTGAGGTATTAAGCTTATTAGGGTTTGACAACATTACTTTTCAAAGTTGACTTGTTCATAGTATTTTGAATATTTTTTAAGCACACATAATTAAAGATTTTGGTTATCTATAAGCTATAACCATCAAAAATATAATTAAAAAAAAACTTTAAATACTTAACTCTATCTGTTATAAATCTGTATAATAAATTTCATTTTCTGAAATGAGTCTCAAAGAACACTTAACATTTCATGATATTCAAACTTTTTGAGATGTTGTCTCAGTACATCTAGTAGGGCGGCCAGAGGGAGAGTAAGAAAAACTTAAAATTCACTGAACCACAAAAGTGTAAAAATATTTTTTACACAAGTGCTGTGTTTAGCCATTGGAGCATAGTCTTAGCTGCTGTTTTTGGGACACTCAGGAAAATCCCAATGGACAGCTGGTATCAGGAGCGGGAAGCAAGAAAACAAATTAAATCATTGTCTGAATCAGTAAAAAGAGGGGAAACAGAGACTGTAATTAAAGTTTGAAGGTGGAAAAAAAATACCATTCCAGTAAGGAGAGTAAGCAAAGGGAAAAGGTAGATATCGGAAATGGCATTCCACTCAGGAAACACGGTTAAGAAGCAAGGGTAGGGTCGCTGGAGTTAACATTTCTATAAAATAAAATAAAGGAGAAGGGGTTGGAAACTGGAATATAATTACTCAGTCAGGAAGGTTTACTACTCAGGTTAAAGACAGAGGAATTGGGACATGTGATATTTGTACCTCAATGAAGATGATAGTGGGAAGTGAACCATCTGCAGAAAAGAAAATTGGCAGGGCAATGAGGTTAAATACCTTTCAGGTATTCTTGGTTGATTTTATTTCAACTCTCTTTTCAAAAATCAAAGAAAATAACAAAAATAGATAACATTTATAACTCTAAACATCAAGAGCCTGACTAACACACTAAAAGTGGGAAACATCGTGTTTATTGTTAATTCCGCTGCTTGACAAGGTATCATTACCCCATAAACTGGTCATCTGTAAAGATAACGCTTTGTCACCCTAAACCACCAACTTCAGCACATTTTAATGGCATTTTATGACAGGCCGACGCAAACTGGGGCATAATTGTATTGTGGAAGAAGAAAAAAAATATTTGTTTCCTCAAAGTTCAGCCTATGTCACTATAATACCTTTAAATTAACTCCATTTTAACCAGCGACTCTGTGAAGGCCCCATGTGGTTTTTAGAGATCCGAAGAGAACCAAATAAAGCCTTTGAAGACCAAATGAACTCAGAAAGTTATGGATAACCTTAAGGTATGGTTAGATTATAAAACCAGATTACAAGTTTAAACATCACACAAAACTAGTCAGCCTGTCAAAAATGGGAGGAGTGTGCTGCAATTGAAAAGCAGAGCAGCAGCCAAAAGACCCATGATTTTGTATGGAGAAGCTGCATTTATGCAGTGCTAAGGTGGGTGAATTGTTGATACAACAATTATTATTAATTGCGGATACTTTGAGCACACCAGAAATATGGAGAAAAAGATGTGGTTAACATGTTGAAAAAGTTATTCTCGTCAGATGAGATCAGGATTAAATCCAAATGTATGTTGGAAGACTGACTAAGCACATCAGCAGTGCACGGTAGTGGCAACACATTGCTGTGGGGAGGCTTTTCCTCATCAGGGAAGGGACCGATGTTGATGGAAAGATGGATGCAGCTAAATACTGGAGGAAAATGTCTGTGTTAAAATGGCCCAGTCAAAGGCGAGACCAAATTCCAGTTGTAAATCTGTGCTAAACAAATCTAAGCTGTGCAACCCTGTTAAGGGCTTATCTGAAAACTATTGACTCAAGAGGGAGTTAAAACAAATGACGGCAAATTCTTAAATCCCTAATTGTAAACCATACAGTTTTTCTTCCACTTCACAATTAAGTTATACTTCTCTCACATATAGTTCCAGTAAAATGTGTTGAAGTTTCTTGTTCTGATGGAATGAAATGCAAATCAACAGGTATGAATAATAAAGCAATGCATTTTTCAAATATCAGCTTTAAACATGACAGTATGCAACTCATGTGCAGATAAAAACACATTTCAGCAGACAATTGGTACAAAACACTATATATTTAAACATTAGAAATGTGATAAATAAGATACCAGAGGTCATATAAATCATAAATCATAACATCTGTCCTTCATCAAATTGTCCCAGTTTCAATGTCTGAGTTCCTCATTAAAATTCAACAATACATTCCTCCACAAGGTCACCAAAGTGTAAACACAGAATACATCAATTTTAAAGCATTTTCTTGATAATCTAACGACCCAAATATTTCCACTTGGCATGAAAACTGCTACAGCTCTTTTTTTTTTTTAAACCTGCCTTTTATTGATATGTTGTAAACTGAGAAAACTATCAGCATTTGAGTCCAATGTGGGCTGGTTTGTCTCTGCTGCTATTAAAAGACATGTGAGTAGCCTACACTGGATTCCACTGAGATAAAACAAGATGTAGCGCATAGAAAGCCTTCAAAACAAGCAGCTTCTGACTGTGTGGTCCCTCAGAGGACATGCACTACCCAACAAAAATAAAACCACAAACTGGTGGCTCCTGTCTTGACGCACAGTTCCTGAGCAGCGCTATTCTTCTCATCTTTCCCCAGACAGATGACCAGACAGACACTGCATATAAATAGGGACCCAACACAGGGCCTTTTTTTTTTTCCTCCAGCTCCTGGGCCAGCATTTATCAAAACAATACACCACCATACAATGACTGCACACATCACACAAACACAACAGACTGCAGCTCGAAGGGGGCGCACTGAGAGCAATAATAAAGATGCCACCAGTGGTTAATAGGTTAGAGGTATGATCTCCAAGCTGGGGATGTTTTGCACTCAAATGCTGACCTGGCTCATGATTTTTAGCTTTGCAATCTCCTTGCAGTCGGTGCAAGGGCCCTGAATCGCAACACCCTGCAAATATTTTCATCAGTGCATGTAAATATGGTACCCTACCCATCACCCAATCAGCTCCCCTCCTGTAATAATAATAATAATAATAATAATAACTGGAAGAAATGACTCAGGTAAACTAGATGATATTACTGTATTTAATGAGAGGAGGCCTTTTATTATCCATACCTGACTGAATCCTCCCACCCCCTTTATTCTCTGTCTTTCTTTTTCTTTTTTTCAGGCATCGCTGACAGTTTTTTTTTTTCTCACCACCAACCCCCTCATCCATCCATCCTTCCTTTCTCCGACTTTGCTCACCTTCCCTCTGCGGCGCTCCGAGGGCTCTCTCCGGGCTGAGGAGTGAAAGGATCCCCGCCACCATCACCCAGCAGTGGGGCCGCATCGTCGGCGCGTGCGGGTCGACAACAGCATCCGAGCGACGCCGGCGAGCCGACCGTCGGTGTCGGTGTCCTCCTCGCTCCCGTTCCCCCCCTCCACGGTCTGTTCCTTCTTCGTCTCCTCACTCCCCCCCTCTTCCTCTGCTTCTCCCCTAATAATAAAGAGCGTCTCCTCCTTGTTCTCTCTCCTCCTCCTCTAATCCGCAATTAAACACTGAGATGCTCTATTGTGCATCCTCACCCCGCCGCTCTGCCTCAGTCTGCTGAAAACAACCTTTTCTCTCTCTCTCCCTTATATTTCTATATAAATCCTCCCCCCTCATGTATCTCACAGTGTGTTGGAGGTTGTCTGTTTTCTCCTCCGCCTGCCTTTACGTCAGACGCGCGCATCGCGCATTGTCATGGTTCAGCTTCATCTTTATCATGGATGAAAACAAAAACAAATAAAGAAAAGCAATATAAACTTTGTTTTTAGGATGTTATTTTTTATTAGGATCCATTTTGGATATTGTCAAACATATTCAAGGGCGTAACGACGCAAAAAAAGGGCCATAAGCAACCTTATATGGGTGGGCCCCATATGAAGTAGCTATAACACCTGGTAAAGGTTCAGTTCCATAAATCGGCCAAGATGATACAATTATGCAATTCTCAGTAGTATATGATCAAACATCACTGTTCATTGGTGTCATCCCAAGTTACAAGTATGGCAAGCCAAGAATGCCACTATTCGCATCTAATTACAGATGTTTTTAGTGGGTTAATTTCAATCTTAGCGTGGTAATTAGATGCGAATAGTGGCATTCTTGGCTTGCCATATGCAAAAACTAATTTCACGTAGATGCTTATCTACGCTCTGGATTACCCATAATTCCAAGTTGTAGTGTAAAAAATAAAATACTCAAATACGTCGTTCTTTTAAGATCTTTACTGCGGTTTGAAACATATTACATGAGTGTATTTCTTTACCAACCGTCTAATGAAATATACGCAGTTGTTAACATAGTAAATAAAAGTACCACTGTCTGGTTTGCTATTGGTGTCGTGTTTAATCGGCTCACCATAATGTTGAAATCTGGCATGTATTGGGGTATAAATACGGTCCGGTGTGCAAAGACATTATAGTGTCACGTGGGTTTACAAGATATTTTTTGCGCCATTACATCTATGAAAGGGGAACACCGTTTTTTTTACATTGGGCCCTTGATTTATGGTATTACATCGTGTTCTACTCACCCATATAAGTTTTGTGTCATTTGGAGCCGTTCTGAAGATATTCAGTTAGTTTATATCCAAGTATCCGCGCGCCAGACTGGAGTTGTGACAGGCAGCCCGGGCCTCAGGCGGCTATGTCTACCCCTTACATTCGTTCGGCTAGCTAATCGGAATCGTTTAATTCCATTTCGAGAGCAAGATCATCTGTGGTAGTAGCACTAGACATCTTCCAGGCATGTGAGAAAACTAGCAGCAGTTCAGCGGACAGGATGAATGAATGATAGCCGGCGCGCACGGATGATGTCATACACGCGCCGCTTTGTTTTAAAAAGATATAAATATAAAAAATATAACCGCGGATGTCTGGGGGACAGTGATTCGCCTACATGTTATGAATGCTGGCCTACCATAAACAACAAAATATGAACAGTTTAGTTTGTGCCTTCAAGTCGTTGCCCATAGGAAGACGTTACCTGGATATAACGGAATATCTTCAGAACAGCTCCAAATGACACAAAACTCAAATGGGTAAGTAGAACATGATGTAATAATGTAAAATCAAGGGCCAAAATGTAAGAAGAAAAAAAAAAACGTTCCCTTTAAGAGACATCCTAGTCTACGATTGCGTAGGGAGCCTCCCAGGTGTCAGTGATGGGGCCCCTCAGAGGTTGTGGGCCCCTAAGCAACTGCTGTCTCTGCTTACAGATATTTACGCCATTGAACCTATTTATTGCTTTCATGCAGAAATGTCACACATTTTCAGAATTTCTTCTATCAGCCAATCTTTAAACAACACAAAAAAAAACTATGCTACCATAAATTTATGGCAGCTTTTTAATCAATCATCTGACTCAAAACCGCACAGCATGTGCAAATTTTAAAGACTGTAAGAAAAATGTATAGATGGAGGATGCAAAACTGAGGACAAGATGAACGGATGCACAGGTGCTTTGAGGAATGAAGGATAAGGGATGGATGGATGGTCAAATAGATGGTGCACAAATGCATTAATGACTGAACAGATGTATGATTCATCAATGGATGAAAGGGTGATGCTTAAATGGATGGAAAATGATGTGTGATATAGCAATGGACAGAAGTAAGTTGGATGATGTATAAATGGCCGGACGGAAAATGGATGACATATATTTGTTGGTAGATAATTAGAGTCATGGCTGAATAACAAATGTATACATGGGTTTATGGAAATATAGATGACAGATGGATAAATTAATACTTTTTACTTCGGTAGATGTTCAGACAAATGATGTCTTGGCAAACTTCAACATAAACATCACTTACATAAAATAGAACACATCTCACTGTTGCTCATTGCTTGTAATAAGCTAATATCTCACAGGAGTCTCAGTAATGAAGTCAAAAATAACTTTTTTCGATGCATCAAAGCATTCAAGTACAATTGTGACAGGGAATCAGTGATAAAATCCCAATTGCCTTATGCTGAGGAACACAAATGGCACAGTCAGCGGTGGACTTAATAATTTCTACCTGTGCTCTTTCTGCTCAATAAATACCAGTAACACAAACATGAAAAACAAGCACAAACATCCATTTTTATAAGGACCGGAGGAGCATCATCAAACAAAAAACAGAAGCATGTTTTTATTTCCCTTAAAGGAAAAATCATCATTTATAGCATTATGTTTAATAACACTCTGCACAAAGAGAGGAGATATAGATCATAACTCCTCCAGGTCCATGGCAATTGTTCCATAATTAGTTTAACAAAAAAAACAACAAAAAAGACAATTGAGTCCATAAACAGAAAATACCAAATAGTTTGGGGCCAAGTAATGTTGGCATTGGTCATCTATATCACCAAATGTTAGGATACCGACTACAGATTTATATTTTTTAGTATGATGCATTTTTCAAACCGACTGTTTTTATAGACAGCGTAAGCCAGGCTAACAGTCGGCGACCGGCTGAGCCCCCTGTGTGGACAACCATCTGCTGTGCTGATGTGCTCATGAGCGAGATGCTGTAGGGGGAAACCAGGCTGCAGCCGAACCCCTCCCTCCATTGTCCATTTATGAGGAAAACACCCAAAAGAAAATAAACCATAACTTTAATTCAATAAAGAGTTCACTTGTTTTGTTTTTCTTTTCTCCCCACATCTCTCTGCATGCTAATGTCAGTTCATACATAAGTAAAACATTTTAAGATTTCAGAATTTCATCCCTCCAGCTTTCCCGATCCCGTCTTTGCCGCTTCCGGGCGAGTTCTGGAAAGAAAGCGTTGTTGTAGGGTCTTTCCCTCTCGTCCACTTCTCTGTCTGTCCCCTTTCTTTTACCGTTCCTCTGATCCAGGAGGGCCTGGGTTCTCCTCCTCTCCTCTGCCTCCCTCTGCAAGCGTTCAGCTCGTAACTTTTCTATAGAACTAAAAAAAAAAAAAAAAAGATAAACATTTTATTTGTTTATTTTAGTATTTGTTCAAATCTTAAATCCTTAATGGAGTCCACTCAACACACCTCTCTCCTGTGCTTTTCTTCTCCCCTTTGTCTCTTTTTTCCTTCTTCTTTTTCTTGTGCTCCCTCCTCTCATAAACTCCCAATGCTTTCTTCATATCCTTCAAAGGATCCAAACTATCCTTCAATCTACGATCCTTCTTTTCTTTCTCCTCTTCAGCTACACCCTTCCTCTTTTCCTTTTCGATCCTCTCTTCTTCTTTTTCGTTGCTGCTTTTCATGTACCATGGGGTCACCTCTGTCCCTGGTTGTGGCCCCAAAGACACAAGTAAGCCGATAGCTCGTTCCTGCTTCTCCTAAAAAAAGACAAAAACAGAAAATCATAAAAATCTATATCAATATATTTACTTTTTACATTTTTGCCAAATTACCAAAATGTTTTTTTCATTATACATATTTATCTTTTTTTCCATCAGCCTTTAATAATGAATTTCCGAAACTTTAAGATTGCAGTTTCCTAGATACAATTGATTTAATTAATCAATAACATTTAAGAGAACGCTGGATAACTTAAACCAAAAAGTGGTATATGAGGGCCGTTATCATCACAGTGATAGTGATTTCCTCCTGTCCAGGTTCCAATAAATTTACCATTTAAACTGCTAGCATAAACTTCAGAGAGTTTTCAGTCAGTATCGTTCAATTTAAAGAAAGTTAAATAAAAGAAAATTCAGATAACAGGGAAGTTAAGACTGAAAGAAAGGCGGTAGGACATAGAAGGACAGTATGAAGGAAGATATGAGAGAAAAGGAGCCAACAGAAGAAAGAAATTAAGGTATGAAAGGAGGAAAGACAGAGATCTTGGACAAGGAAAGAAGGGTGAAGGGGGTGACATTGAAGGAAAAAAAACATAAAAGATAAAGAAAGGGGCAAAAAAATGACACCAGGAAGTGTTAAGTGGTACAAGTAAAGAAACAAATATTGACTAAAAGAAAGACAAAAACAGAATTTGGAATGGGGGAACAGGAGGAAGAAAGAAAATATACAAGGAGGAAAATAAGGTAGGGCACAAGAGAAGGAAAAACTGAAGGTAGGCCATAAGGAAGGATGGAAGTAATCTAGGATCCTCAGGTATGCCCTGGGAAAAAGAGAGCATGATAAAGGGCTCTAAAGAAGAGGCAGCACTGTTACCTTTTCTTCCTTCTTTTCTCTTAGATACTCCTCATTTCCCTTAGTCTCTGAGGCCTCCTCCAGAGGAAATAGATTGAGATGCTCCGGACTCGTTCCACTTTTTTCCTCGTCATCGTCTCGCTTTGCTCCGGCTGACTGGAGAGCAGCCCGAGATTTCTTTCTTAGATATTCTGTACGCGCCTGTGGAAACCAAAGGTTGACATCAAGAACATACACAATCGTGTTCAGTTCATTTTAGAAGAAAAAGTAAAAAAAATAAAGCATCTTGGATTCATTTCTGCAAGTATTTAAAGAACTTATGAAACAACAATATGGGAGCAAGGAGATGCGATTACCTAAAGCAAATTGATCATAACAATAAATGATGAGTCAGCAATTAACCAGCCAGGGAGTTCTTCATAAGCTAAAGTAAGAAAACCATTATTACTCCAAGAGCACATCAACATCTTGTCCAATAGTTCAAAAAAGATGCAGTGCTGACCTAACTTAGTCGGAGCTATGATTCAACAATAAGAATGAAAAACTGCATTCATGGAGCAAATTCTGGTTAAACCATTTTATAAATAAATAAATAATACTTTAACTTTATTGATCTCATGTCGGAGAAATTTACCTTGCATTTAACCCATACCCTTGGGGAGCAGTTGGGTTAAGGGACTTGCTCAGAGAGCCAGGGAGCCAGTCTGTGGGAGTGGGGCTTGAACTCAGAACCTCATGATTCCAAGCTCTATGCCATAACCAGTAAGCCGTCACTCAACCTTGATCAAAACCAACATCAAGGTGATCCCAAAGACTATATGGGCAAAATTTTGCATATATTCCTCTAACAATGCATTTTAGAGTAAGAACATCATAAACAATGCTGGTAGAAGTGATAATTAGGGTCTCCTCTCCTGCCTTAGATCCTGGATGAATTGCTGTGACCGATGTAACCATGAAGTTGGGGTTTGATAGAAAATCCTGAAACAATTCCTCTAAGCTATGCAGCTGGATGATGATCTACTGCACACCAGCAAACCAGTCTGTGAATTACTTTTAAAAACAAAAATCTGAGTACCAAGGTTGTGATATGGCCTAGTCAAAGTCCAGGTCTAAATCAGATTAGGGTGTTATACCAATACCTTATTAATGTCTCTAATGCTTGAAAATTGCCAAATATGGTTTCCACAAACCATTAGACTCATTTTCAGCTATTTCAGTCACTTGATGGAAGCTGTTGTCTTCAAGGATGGCAGATCCACTTTTCAGCATTATGGGGTAATTTTTCACATGTTGATTTAGAAAGCATTTCTCTTATAGTAAAGAAAATCAACATTTAAATCTGTCCTTTGTATCAACACAGGTTATATGCACCTTGTTCAAAAATGTGTTGACCTGAAACATCTGTGACAAAAAAAAAATGAAAAAGAAAGTTTTAAATAATTGCCTCATCTATGCAAGGTAGAAATATTACAAAGTTTCAAAGTTGTGCTGCTCAGGTTGAATGGGATTGTCTTCTATCAAGTGGCGGATCTAGGGGGACGCTACTTGGGCTACAGCCCCGGATGTTTCCCCACGAGCCCCGGATCTGGCTTCTGAGCTGATCTGAGTAAAATGTGCAGTACTGCAATTCACCAGATAGTGGCAGCATGTGCAGGAAAGCAGCCTGTAGCATTCCTGTGCAGAAGAAGAAGTTGTGACCACTAGCTGTTGCTAAACAGAATGATGTTCCAGGGATGTGAAGCTCTGACTTCGAGTTGTTCTTTGGCCCGGTGTTGTATGAAATTCTGTTTCCCCTGTGTCGGGATCGCTCACTGAAGCCAGAGAGGCAGACATGGCAGATCTGACCATTTTCACAGCGCGTGTGGTCGATTTCTTGCTAAAAACAACTCCTATAATCATGTCATGGTTGTAAAATCTAGTTTAATCAGCAGTTGTTGTTTACAAAATTGCAAAATAAATAAATAGACGAGGTCCTTTTAAGCTGTTTTGAGTTGTTTTTTAAACGCTAAGAGAATCTGTCTTTTTCCAACTTCTGTCACTTAAGCCTGACAGAAATAAAAGTCAGTCACCAAACAAAGTTTTCCAACTGATAGTGTGTATTTTTAATTTTTCATTGGGGATTTAAGAGGATGGAAACTGGCTGATAGCAGGACACAAAAATTACTGAAAAGATGAGAGTGTAAATTCTGCTGTAATGTAAAATATGACAGATTACTGGATTAAGGACATTTCTAGTATACACATCCCTTCCCCCTCCAAAAGATGCGAACAAATTAATTAACCTAAAAGTCTTTAACCGTGTTTATTCCTCTCTTCATCAACAAAAAACCCTGCGATATGGAGACATGTAATCATTATTTGCCAGAGTTATGAGAGGGGAATCATATAATTCAGCCACCTGATATAATCTGTTCCCCCTTTGATGATCTTTATGAATTATATTTTCTATTTAAATGTTTATCTAACAATTAAAAATATTCCAAAACAAGACCAAACCAAATGTCTGGAGCAATGCTACTCCAGACATTATGAGTTGAGAATTGAAAATAAAATTTCATAAAGATGATCAAGCCAACAGTCATATTTATTTTAACTATTTTGGATTTCAAAATATACAATAATAAATGTGTGAAACTTAATAAAAAAAAAAAAACAGTTTCAAAATTCACAGGATTTGTTTATTGTTTCCCATGTTATAGGGGAATGGATTATATCAGCTGGCTAAAATACATGGTTTCCCCCCTCATAACTTTGGTAAATAATGATCAAACGTCACCAAATCCACAGATATTGTTGTTGATGAAGAGAGGAATAAACACAGTAATTTCTTCCCATGTCATGGAGGGGGAATTGTTATGTGTGATAGCATGTAGTATACTTGAAATTTCTTTAATCCAGTAATCTGTCATATTTTATATTAGAACAGGATTTACCAGAAAGTCTACTCTCTATCTTCACCCTCAGGGCTAAGGGCCCCTGATCTCCTAGAATCCTAGATCCTCCCCTGCTCCTGTCCATCATCAGGTGTTACCTCTTGCTCTGCCCGCTCCACGCGGCGCATGGCCTCGCGCTCCTCTTCTGCTGCCTGGGCTTCATCCCTTCGAACCCGCGCGACGTTGTCCTTGTTGCGGACATGCCAGCTCTTCTTTGGGAGGATGTTCATCTTTGTCTTGGCGACCGATAAATGTTAGCACCTGGCTAGTTGACAAAGATAGCGAAAGTTAACGCAAGAAAATCACACTGCTTATTAATGAACTGAAGTGGAAGCTATAGGTAAAAATATAAAAACGTGGAACGTCTCAAAAACATCTCAGGAATAATATTAAAGCGGAATTTATTTTTATTTACGTCTTGAATTTAAGGTACCCTTAGCCAGTTGTTGCCATCTCTTTTTATTAAACTGTATCAAAAAAAAACAGACGCCATCTCGTTCTAAGATCTTCAACATACAGATTAAAATAGACAAAAACTACTGCTACATACTTACTTTCAAAGTAGCTAAAGAATCGAGCTTGTTCAATGGTCATAGGGATCCACAGGAACTAGTAATATCAAACCGGAAGTAAACAATGACCACACAGTGAACCAATTACAAAACAGTGACACCAGATGGCGCTGTAACCACACACACATTTTGTTATTACATAAACACATGACTGCATAAAAGCATACTGGGAAAAACTGCTGGAAAAAATACAATTATACCTTTAAAAATAATAAAAATTGAATAAAAAAAGACTAAATAAATGTTGTTAAAAAAAATCTAACCAGACAATTCTAGTTTAATGAATTCAATTATGACTGTAGTTTATGATCAATATTTGTAAAATTTCAAACATTTTAGTCATATCTAGTTTTTTTTGTATTTCTGTGTAGATTTACCATTTTCCTATCACATTTTATTTTTTGGGTTTTCTGTATGTCTATTTTAGTCGTCTTGAAATAAAATAAATAATTGAGAAAATTGCCTTGTTTTATTTCAAAATGTAGCATCAGCAGCACAGGTCATACAAAAAAAAAAAAAACAACAACACACGAAACCATAGAGGAGAGGTAAAAATATAGCCTAAGGTTTAAGAAAAGCCTTAATATACATTAGAAATGATAGTATGAAAATAAACATGAAATACAATCCATTTATATGACAGACAGACAGAGATAGAATATTTGAATATACATTTTGAGCCATTGCTATTTTCACATTGTATAGACCCATGTCATTATGTGACTGTGTACAGTATTTTATATTATTTTTTTCAGTTGTTTTTAATGTTAAATCATACAAAATAATTTTGAATTTCAAATTGTATTAAAAACAAATTAAATAATTGTGTATTCAGTAATTCATAATTAATAAATTACATATAATAAAAATAGGCTTTTTTTCTTATCTTCAACAGAAAGCACACCTTTATTCATATCTTTTAAGAATTGTACAATCCAAAACAATAATCTCATTCACTCTATATATTATCATTAGTTGCATTTTCAAATTCTTATATGTTTCAAATATATAACAAAGCAAAAATAAAAGGGTGTACAGCTTGAGTTTAGTCCTGGTTTTCTTCACTTTGGTGTTGTTTGATGGCCAAAATCTGCTTTACCAAAAACTGCTTGTCCCGTCCTGCCTGTGAACCAGTGAAACCAGAGATACTACACTGATTAAACTGGATCCCTGAGAATAGTTTTTTAAATGTTAAGGATAACATATGGGTTGCATTAAGCATGAGAAACTATTAAACATTTGGTTGTAAATAAAAAAAAAAGATAAACATACCAATTTAAGTTGTGCTTTGAGCATTACAACAGATCTGCCATGGATAGAGGCTAAAGCGATGACGTAGCACATAACCACACTGCAGGAGAGGAAACAGACACAGTGTGAAAGGGACCTTATAAAATTCTGTAGCATGCAGGAGGCTGAATACAGGTGAATTTCAATAAGACAGAATGACATAAAAAACTGTGCACATTGGGAATTTAGTTCAAAATGTTAAACTATATATTATATGTCTATGTTACATAAGTTTATTACACACCTTTTTGTAATTGTTATAATTATGGCTTACAGCTAATAAAGGCCCCAAGTCAAGAAAAGTAGCATATAAAATAAAAGCAATGAAAATATGATTTGTATTACAAAAAAGTAAGCCTACTAAAAAAATTTTACATCAACTTTACATTTCATACACTCTGTACTTTGTCTATCCTTTAATTTAGGAAGTGGTCCAACAGAAATGGGGTGAAAAGAGAAGCAGAAGACATTCAGTAAAGGTCTAAGGATTTAGATTTGAACACAGAATAGGTGAAAAATAAAATGCTCCCCACCTTACCCCCTATTATAAAGCATCTCCATACAGAAGAGGAGGCGTTAAAATGCTCTAAAATATCTAGTTAGAAGACTGCATTAACTGTGGATTTCACAACAAGCCAAGTTAGACTTACCATGATAAGGCAGAAAGAGGTACTGAAAAGGCTTGGGAGCCAATAAAGAAAATAAACTCTTTTGTTACATCAGGAAGATAGTAGGTAGAGTTTGGAACAATCTGCCACATGTTGTCAAAAGAACGGAAAGGCCCACAAGCCTGTGATGGATGCATCCTATTGTAACAGCAGAAACAAACATCCTTAATAGGGAAACAATAAAATACAAACACTAAAAGAGAAACTGATGGCCATATGATTGATTGCCAGATTAATTAACCTGTAAATGTTTAGTTTTTGACTTTGAAAAACAACTTTGAAGGTAATGAATTAGCACTCACACAGCAACACTATAAATCATGACAACCAAGGCTATGATCCAGCCAAAGAGAAGGACTGCCAGGAAAAAGAAGGAAGAGGAGGTGGACCGAAATGTCCTTAATGCTGGACGACAGTTGTAGAAAAGTGTGATCTGTGGCGAGAAGTGAGAGGGGTTAGGGAGCAAACAATAAAGCTCTGTGTTAGATGCTGACTGTGGTAAAGCTGTAGATTCACCTTCTTGCAGTAGAAGAGGATAACGAACTTGGCTGTGTTCAAGAGTGGCAGCAGAGGGCAAAAAAGAGCTCCTGTCCAGACCACAGTCTGGCCATAAACAAGCCCGAGAACATTAGAAGGAACTACAAACTCCTGCCGGCCAACCCACTGAGACAACTTACAGGAAGTGTTGTCCACCACCATCCTAAAAAAACAAAACAAAAAAAAACACACCATTTATAAACACCATGTCATGGAAATATCCGACTTATTCACCATCAATTTACACAACCACAATTCGTTTACTGGAACCTGAGTGTTTATGTAAGGATTCATACCTGCGTGGAAATTCAACCAGCACGAGTAGAGCGATGTTAACGAGGAGGTCGAACAGTGTCAGCTTGTACATTTCCTGTCCCACACGTGTTTCCCAGCACTATGTCAAAACAAAAAGGTGGAAACAGTTCAAAAACTCATGGAGGACAGGTGAGGAGGCTCTGAGACGTTTAGAAACCTATACCAGAAGGACTTATAAAACACTAGAGGAGTAAAGATCTTTCCAGCTCCCTTCACTATCTTCTGCTGGGTCCTCCTGTACATTTGACACCTGATGTTGACATACACTTCATAAATTGGCACATAAACTTTTTGTAATTGTCAATATGAAATTTAATATGAGTAAACTTCTGTCACATCTGATGAAGCTAAAATGACCAGTGATACATTTGGAGCAACAATCAGGAAGCTGCAAGGCTGAGAAGACCATACTAACTGTTAGGTATGACGAGGGTGGCATAATGTTGTGTGGGTGTTGTGCTGCAGGAGATACTGGGGCACTTCACATAATAGATAGGGAAAATAACATTATGTGGAAGAACTCAAAGAACATCTTGGGACACAAGCTAACAAGTTAAGTCTTGAGCACAAGTGGGTCCTCTGAATGGACAAGACCCTAATCAGAGGAACCAAGTCAATGATTGGAGGCACTAACAAAGCCCTAATCTCAGGCAGACAGACAGTTTTTGGTCCAAGCTAAAAATAAAATAGAAAAGTTGTTCAAATAGTTAGGACCTTTGCATCATCTCATTGGGTTCCTCCTGATTTTTATTCTGTCCTCCATTACACAGTAGATAATAAGTGGCAGTCTGACTCTGCCGCTGTTTTATATAATGCTCACATTAATGTGCTCTCACTCATATCAAGTTCTGTTAAATACCTATTTAAAAAGTCTGTGCAATGCTGCAAATATTAGGATGGATATGGTCTGTATGTACTGTATGTGAAGGTTTATGAGGTGAAATGGTAGCTTCATAAAGATAACTTTCTTATTATGAATATTTCGTTTTTTTGTGAATTAACGGAGCTTATCTTCATCAAAAGGACATGCTATAATGTCTTTAACCAACCTAGTGAATATTTTTGTTTTTATGGTTTACACAAAACAATGACAGAACCCTCCTGACTAAATCAGGAAATAAAACAAGGCGATTGGCTTTAAGGAGGGTGGAGACAGAGGACACGGAGTTTATTGAGGAAAACCTACTCCTGACCAGGTTAGCTCTGGGGAGAATGTTACTACAATAGCAGAAACAAAGTTTGACTAAACTCTATTGTAAAACGGAAAACATCCCCAGACACATCTGAAAACCAAAACAAAAAAGGCCAAAAGATGGGTAAATGAGGGCAACAGATATCTTATGTGCTTAACATTAAAATATTTTTGTTTTGGTTCCATGTCTGAAGTACTGTTCAAACCACACATTTGCAGTTATGCAAAGAAACTGAACAATTACCGGGTACTCTTGGTAGTTGTAATGACACTCATTACATTCGTCATCATTTTGATTTCCTTTACAGGTGATCTGATCCCAAAGGGTGAAGAGAAGGATGCATAGACTGGCAAGACGCAAAATCACTGCTCTGGAAAAAGAAAGCAGATGTGGCTCTGGTTATAATAAAGATTTATAATTGCAAGTGAAGCAGAGATATTTCCATTCTATGCTTACCTATTATTGAACCATTGTTCCGAAGCATGCCCATATAAGCTTATTGTTGGTCAAACTTTATAACTTAAATGTGATTATTAAATGCACGGTTAAATTGATGCAAAAATAGAGAGTATCTTATGGTTCAAACTTGTCAACACTAAGCAGTAAAGCTGTATGATTTGGCCTAATTGGTTAAAACAACGGTTGAAAGAGATCAGTAAATGTTTGCCCGTGTAGAGTGTATGTAAAACTCTCTGTCTTTAAATGTATGGGTGAATCCTATGGAGAAATGTTTAAACTAAGGTTTTAATCTATGGTTTTGGAAGACTGTAAATAAAATTTGTAAATGTAAGTCAATAAGTGATTAAGTAATTTGTATTTGTTCTTTGTCAACTTATACATAATTGTGAGATCAGATGTTTCACCCTCGAGAGTGCAAGTTTGTCGAATTTTAAATCTTTGCTGAAAAGTTATTTAAAAGTTTAACATGGGATCAAAATTTCATTGCATTAATACTACCAACTGGTAAGGATTGTAACAGGTTCATCAAGGGTTGTAGAGTTGAACTCATAAATGAGTATCTTGTATTTGTAAATGTAAAAGTCGGACTCTTATGGATGAAACATCTGAGTTCAATGATGATTATTAAAAGCATCTTAAATTATTCTTTATTATTCTTGTTTACATTTACAAATTCAGACATTTATGTATATGTTTTTATTCACTGTTATCACATTCCAGAGGCATATTTTTAATAAAGAAGAAGTATGTTATGTTTAGTATGACAGGGTTTGTCAGGTTTAACTTTTATAAATAGGTTTGACCTTTTTCTATTTTCTTGGTCTCTGTTGTATATTACCTGTTAAAAGGGGGATGTCAGGGTTTGTTTGTTTTTCCCAAATATACTGATTGTATTTAGTTGAGCTTAATAAATAGAGGTGTACTTTGAATGAAACTTTAAAATTTTAAAAAGTAAACAAATTTGTTATAAATCAGATAAAAGATAAATACTTTTTGCCGTATCTTGTATGCATAAATGTTAATCTAAACAATAAAGTAAAAGGTATCTATCTCAATCAACTACTGTTCAGGTGGGTCAAGTTTCTACCTCACAGTTAAAGATGTTTTTCAAATTTGGTGTATCTGTTTATTTGCTGTACTGCAAAACAACTTTTTTAGAAATCTGTTACCTTCAGATATAACAAAGCTGCTAGTTTTTTTTTTTCTTTCAAAATTTAAAGATATGAAATAAGACATACATTACTCAATACTACAAACCTTAACAGTGCTACTATCACTGTGGAGCTTGGAGAATATTTTTCAAGTAGAGCTAATTGGTCGCACAGCAGAGGCACCAAGAAGTTCCCTGCGGTGATGACAATCGATGGCAGATACTCATAAATCAATCCAAGGATCCCTTCCTTGTCACTGTTATCCTGTTGGACAGGAATTAGAGACAAATGATAATCAAGCACTCAATCAGGGGCATAATGTGAGCCTTTAATAACGCACCTGGCTGAACTTTGTTGCCTCAAAAATGGAATAGCAGGCTGCTGCTACAAGCCCTAGAGCAACAAAAAACGACAAAACACGCAGAGAGTATAAGGTAACTTTTTTGCACATAGTGAGGGAAGCTGCATGCTTCTTTAGGCGCTCTTCCTCCAGATCCACCTGACAGACACAGAAAGGACAGGTTAATTAGATCATGGCTGCTCAAAGCATGCTCAGTGAAATAATGCTTGCTCTAAAGAAAGTAAGAGAAAAAAAAGTCAAAATCTCCAGCTCTCTCCTGACCTGCAGCCGGTAGTAGATGTTCCTCTGTTTTAGTTTGGTGGCTTTTCCTCCCAGGCAGCCGAAGTCCCACCCAGTGAAGACGATCAAGCTGTAGTTGCTTACATCGCTGCCTCCAGTTGTCACTGCAACTCGAGTTGCTTTGCCCATTCTGCTTATGAGCAAATATTCACCTTAACAACTGATGTAATGGCATATTTATCTTTTAGTAGTAAAATTAGTAAGGTTTTGTAATAGTACTGACCGTATTATGATGCAAATGAGACAAAAGGCGAAGTAGAAGACAGCAGTTGACAGATAGGCAACAGGGATGTTGTAGGAAAAGCTACTGTCCTCCACCACTGTGTTGTCATAGTATCCATAAAACATATATGAATACTCAATGAAACCCTGAATATTAATGAGAGGGGAGGGCAGAGCAGGTAAAGAAGATTTATACGTACAATGAAATGTGGCTTAACATTCTGTTCTGCATCATCACAACTTCCTTTATGATGGCGAAAAGGAACCCAAACTATCACTTAAACAGAAGCAAAAATCATTGTATTTGGTCATAAATTCAAAATGCCAAGAGTATTTTTTAGTACAACTGATATAGAGGGAAACCAACAAAGATATAAACAAATCTTCATTTGGTTTTGACTACAAAAAAAAACGTTTCACTAGCGCTGTAGCGAGTTGCTTACATTATGTCATTGCTCCAAAAAGCTGAGAATGAAACACAAAACTATTTCTGATTTATTCACTGTTTTATTTACATACAAAAAAAGGTTATAACACCTCATTAGATATTCAGTTATTTACCGCAACGCTTATCAGCGTCTCTTTCTTTTTTTTCATCTATGAAAAAAAAAAGAGATTTTATTGCAGGTTGGCTGAATAATAATGTTGAGACACTTCTTGTAGTCATTTACCACAGTCTCTGGCTTTGGTCTGGAAAAACTTTGCTCCACTTCTCATTTTTTAACTGTAGGATGTTTTAGAGGTTTCTTGTATGTTTCGCCTGTTTCAGGTCCCCCCCACAGCTTCATTAGGCCCAGAATATTTCATTCTCTAATTCTCAGTCTGTCGTTGTCTTGGGGCTGATGGTTGGTGGTTTCATTTACTCCTGTTCACCTGTCTAATTGGCACGGAGGTTCATTAACTCTTTTTTTCACACCTGATTCCCTCTGCTATTTATGCTGTTTGTCTGCCCACCATCGGCGCCAGATTATTCGAGCTGTTTTGTGAGAGTAACTCTAACATTCATGTAAGTTTTCTGTGATTCTGATTCTGACCTGTTTTCTGCCTTTGCAAATTCAAGTGTTTTGCCTTGACCTTGTCTGCTCCGTCAGTTTTTTTTTTTTGGACTGATTTACTGGATTCTGCTGGTTTACCGAACTTGGACTGAGTTACTGACCTTGGCTTGGATTCTGCTTCAGTACCTTTTTGGCTCTCTGATCTTCTGGTCAGTCAACATGGTTCGGATTCGACTTCAGCTCTGGATATTCCTTCACGGACACTGTTGCCTCCTCGGCATCAGCTGGCTTTAGCCCGTCATTACCCTGAGGTCTGGAAGCAGCTACAGCCGCAAGCGGTGGACAATCTCCCTCCTGGATTCCTCCCCTTCCTCTGGGATCGGACTAAACTCTTAACCAGGTCAGTGACTTTTTACTCCAAGTCGTGAACAGCCAGAAATTCTAGTCACTGACCTGAGTTTCCTATCTCTGCAGAGAATCCAGTTATCCGCCCCGCTGAGGACCAGACGCTCGTTGTATTTTGTGTAATATTGCTTGTTTGTTAAATGATCTGTCTGCTTTCAATATTAGGTCCAAGGTCATCACACAGTCAGTCTTTAGCATATTTCTAAAATCAGGGTGTTGCAGTTGCCTAGTCAAAGTCTGGATTTAAATCAAGTTGAGATGCTGTAGTGTGATCCGATTCAGGAAAATCAGGAAAACCAGATGTGGGCTTATCAAAACCATCCTTTAAAAGAGGAGTGGGCAAAACAAAGGTTAATACTTTGAACTTTTGTTTTGGGAAACACTTTAATTAATTATTTAAAAAATTGGTTTTGCATTTGCTAGGTGTCTAGTATTAAAATTTGTTTAGAGACAAATAAAAAAAAACAAGGACAGAAAAAATCTTTCCTTTTTTAAAGTGTTTTATTTAGAGATGATGCATTTTAGGTTAACTGAAAATGGTACGCCATTATCATTTGTGTTTTTTGATATAACGTAGTTCCGTACGTATGTTACTATAGCTGGGGCATATAGACAAAAAGAATATAAAAAGTGTAAATGTCTTTCCTCTCCTTTTTTAACATGTAGCTTGAGTAAATAAATAAATAAATACCTGAAATGAAAAAATCTGTTTTGGGCTAAAACTTTTAAATAGTACTGTAGTTTTGAAACTCCACAGCAGTATTAGCTGGCATTGTCTGAAAATATTCTATATGATAACCGCTAATCCAAAATGCTGTTAATGACCAACTCATCATTACCAGATCAGTTATGTTTGCATGGTTTTGGTTGAGTTTCTTACCGTTCCTGAGAGTAAATGAAGAAAGTACTCGTAGAAGACCACCAGGCCTTGGGGATTAGGCTCATAAATTGTACAATTTCCACTACCTGAATAACACAGAAGTATATCTCTGAATACAACATTATCAGTAACTGTGATACTGTATATTTAATTGGTCTTCTCTGATTAAAAAGGCTACGCTGATTCAAGAACAGATAAAATTAGGAGGAGATGTTAAAGGAAATTAAAAAGGACATTAGGTTATTAACCAGGTTTACTAGATATATATTTGGCAAAGGTATCAAAAGCATTTATGTATATTACTCAAGTAGAAGTATAAAGGTAACTGATTAAAACCACTTTTGTTGAATTTAAGAGCATCAACTTTTTATTCAACTAAGTGTTAAAGTACCACTTTTTAAAACAACTTAAAGTATAAAAGTAAAAGTAATGCAGGAAAAAAGGTAAAGGACAGATGCTTTACTACACTACCAAATTAAAGGAAAAATGTTCTGCAATTCTGGACGATAACTTCCTTATACTTAATTTTCTTCGTTTTATCAACAGTGACAAATTTAACTTTGCATCATCTTGAAAAACTATTTCTTTTGGTATGTGGCAAACAACAAGTTAGTGTGGCACAGAGCCCAACCAAAAACCATTAATTGTCTGGATAAAAGCCTTTACTTTTATGTTTTTTATTTTTTAAAGCAGTTGACCATAACGAAAATTAGCTTAAATGGAACAAAACTAAAGAGTGTATTTTTAGAATGTAAGAAGTAGAATGTAGAAAAAAAGTAGAAAGCAAATAATATAGTAAATAAATTTAATTTTATTGATCTCACAATGGAGAACGTAACTCTCTGCATTTAACCCATCCCCTTTGGGGAGCAGTGGGCTGCCACTGTGTAGTGCCCAGGGAATAATCAGGGGGTAAGGGTCATTATCAGAGACTGGGAGTGAGTTTTGAACTCACAACCTCAGGATTCCAAGGACATATGCCTTAATCTACTGGTTAGGGCATAGGGCACATTTTTACCAATATTAAAAAAAATGTAAGTAGAAGTAAAAAAAAGTCTCTAAAAAAGAATTTACTTCTGTAAGTATAGATAGCCAAAATGTCTACTTAGGTAAGGTAACCAAGTATTTGCACTTTGTTACTTGACACCTCTGATATTTGGTAAATTATCACTCTACCCTTGTCTTCTGCCTGTCTTTGTTTTATTAAAATAAGCTTATCAAGATGAAAAAAACGGAAATACGATTAGAAGTGGTTAGAGTAGGCAAATATTGTACCCAAGTAAGAGTCAGCTAACTCTGCTTCATCATTTTTCAAGTTAAAAAGTTACCATCCAGGAAATTAGTACAAGTAAAAAGTTTGTGCATTAAGGCAACTCCTAAAAGTTTTTTTTTTGGTCAAAAAGTTTCTCAAGAAACATCTATTTGCTACCCACCTCTGAATAACACTAATATTTAAAAAGATAATGTGAAGATGAAACCTGTGTGTAAGAAATAAAGGGAAATAAAAGGTAACATCACCTGTTCTGCTTTCCAGTTTGGGCGGCTCTCCCAATGAGTTGAACACAATGCTGGGGATGAGCACGAATCCACCAATCAGCAGGAAGGAGACGAAATTAAGAATCACCAAGAATTTAAGAAAGAGGAAGTAGGACTGGACACCACCTCCAAAGTTCCCTAAAGGGTAAAAGTTTAACATCAGCCTATGCTTTTTCAATTAAGAGCCATTTGCAAATGTAAACTATATGCTTACCTCCAATCTTCTGCAAGGATTTACCCCAAAGTGAGAAAAAGTAAAGAAACTCTCTGCCGCTGCTTCTCAATTTACGCACATACATGGCCCTTTTCTGTTTCCAGGATCCCCCGTTTAGCTGAGCAGGGGTCTGCTTTTGTTGTGCTAGCCTGTAAGTGATAGAAAACTACCGTTTTACTTCCATAGAAAATCGACAACACATCAGTTTCATTTTTTAACTATTTCAAATCTTTGCAATAGAGAATTTGTAGTGTTTGTTTGTTTGTCTGTCCTTCTGTGTGCAGGATAACTTGAAAGGCTATGAACGGATTTTAATGAAATTTTTACCAAAGGTGTAGCTCAGTCCAAGGAACAATCCATTTCATTTGGTTGATGATCCACATAATTATCTGGATGCAGGATTTTTAAAAGATTTTTTTTTAAGGATTCTTTAACATTATTTGGCGGATCCCCCTAAGCAGTTCCCCCCTAAACCAGAGAGTGGCAGCAGTGAGTATTGACAGCCTCAGCATTGGACTGAGTAGTAGACTGAAGTATTATAAGAAAGACAAAAACACAGGAAAGGTGAGCCATGCCTCACTCAAAGTTACAATCTGCTGATAAAAGGAGACAGCAGGGTGCAGAGTGAATGAAGAAGGTGAGATCAGAACAAACACCAGAGGCTGCAGACACACTGTGACTTATTTCTCACCCTCTGCACCAGGCTGTAGAGGAGCTGAGCAGCTCCTTTTGTGAAAGACTTTTACACCCTGTTTGTAAAAAGGAGCGCTACTGCAGGTCATTCATCCGTCTGCTGCAACCAGACTATAAAATCCCACACTACAATGGCAATAACTTGTGCAATGTATAATGGGCAATTTCTATTTAATACCCTGTGCAATAGCCTGTTTCTTAATATTTGATACCCAGTGCAATACCTATACAGTATAGATAATACCCATCTACATAAATACCCTGTGTATTACCCCTGCCTTATGGGAAAAAAAAAAAAAAAAAAAAAAGACTTCAGCTGTCACATTTCTCTACTGTGAGATCGATAAAGTCTATCAATCAGTCAATCAATCAATCAATCAATGATTTATAAACTTAAGATGGATTTTAAGGAAATTGTCACCAAAGGAACAATACATTCAAATTAGGTAATGATCCAGATCATGTGCAAGTTTTAGCTATAGGTGTAAATCACAATATGGGACAAAGTATGCTGGCTTGGCCGAGGTCTGCCCTCTCAAAGTGCATTTCTAATTCTGAATATATTCTATCTGCTCAAATATCACTACGCACAAATATAGCAAATAAAACTCAACGTACCACCTAATCTTAGCCACTTTCTCTCTCTTTAAGACATAGCATTTTAAGGGACATAATACTCCTAACAGGCTTGAAGTAACATGTGTCATTACCATTCACAATGTAATAAATATCTGGTTGTACTTGTACGATTTTTGTTTGTTTGTTTAAGTAAAAAAATACTAATAATTTGATAGACCAACGATTCTTTCCCTGAGTGGATAATTTGTCTCCATTTGTTGCAGCTCATCACGTTAAGGTGCAGTGTTTTAACAAAGAGCAGTTTTTCCCCTCTTGTAGGCCTTCTTAGAATAACTCAAGTATTTAAAACCTTTGAGCTTTTTCCACATTTTATTTCAGTTCAACCAAAGCCTGCTGTATATTTTACCAGAATTTTAATTGAGATATAAATACTTAGTTAGTTTTTAGTTGTAAAGTGGGTAGGAAACTCTTTCTAAACCTAGATTATTGCACAACTGCTAACTTCCCCAGACATAGTATCTGAAGTAACTGGTATGGCACTGAGAGCATTAATCAGAGAAACAGCCAAAGGACCCATGGTAGCACTGGAAGAGCTACAGAGATTCATAACTCGGCTGAAGGAATCTACCTTGGCAGCACTCTCTACAAATCTGGCCATTATCGAAGGGCTGAAAATAGAGAGTCATGTAAAGGGACACAGTGAAATATGTGGAAAAAGGTGCTTATTAGATGAGTCCATAAATTTAAGGTGTTAGGCCTGCATGCAAAAAGCTTGGCTGGGAGAATAACTAACACACCACAACGCTCTTAACTCATGGTGAAACATGATGGTTGTTGTATCATGCTGTGGGAATTAATGTCTTCAGCCAGGAGTCAGCAAAGCAGATTGGAAGATGGATGAAGATGTATAAAAGGCAATTAATCTAAACCATTTAGAGACTACAAAGAGTTCAGGGTGGAGGCTGCATTTTCAGTAGGACAACTCCAAATATACAAAGTGTTGTGTGTTAGAAAGGCCTCGTCAAAGATTGAAACCCAGTTAACAATATGTAGCAAGTATCAAAAACTCATACTACACCACTTTCTATCAAGTCTGAGCCTCATCGAATTTACACTGGGTCAGTAAAATGTTTGTAGTGCTTAGGGTCACATGAAAAGACTCACAGCTTTAATTGTAGAGACAGGTGGCTTAATCATCATGACTGCATAAATAAACCAGTTTTGGTTTATTTTTTCCTCCAACTCACAATTGTGTTCAACTCTTTGTTTGTAGATTTAAAACACCAAAATATAGGACAGTTCAAGTGCCATAATTACATTTTCTAGACCACAATAAGACACACAGTATGATCTGACCCATTTGTGGTTCTTATAAGGCACCTGTAGGCATGTATACCAATCCACAAAAAGTTTTCATACCTTATAGCTTTTTTAATAGCCATGGAAAAAACGGTGCTCCTGAGCTCAAGGGCTGCCTCAGAACCATCGGTTTGATCCTCATGGTGGTTCTGACTGGACATTCGAGAGGAAAGCCGACGCATTCTGAGTGACGCCTGGTCAGTAAAGTAACCATTTCCTCCGAGAGCTTGGATACATTCAAACAAGGGTTTACATATATAAAACTGTATAAATCAGACTTTCACTCATTTTTTTTTTATAAACAATTTGAGGTTCAAAATAAACATTGGTATTTTGTCTCTTTTCCTTACCTGAGGCTTGTCTTTGCCACTGATTGGCCATTCTTCTAATTCCACTCGGTAGCAACTTCAGTGGAAAACAAATAACTGGAGCAGCTCTCTACAGGGAAAGGTTAGCGATGAAACACTTCCCTGTTTTCCCCCTGGTGTGGACTTTACTCCTCATTAAAATGACCACACAGGGACTTCCTTGTATGTCTCAGCCATTATACCAGGATGATGATCAAACAACCAAAAAACCAACCAGGAGATACTGATAGGTAACAGTAAAAAACTAGGTCACAAGGATTATATGTCAGAGTTTGACTAGAAAATATGTTTTTGCAAAGCATTACTATGGTCAGTAAGGAGAAGTCATAAAATGATATGTTCCAAAAAAAAAAAAAGGTAATAGAAATGCATTAAAGTATGAGTAGTTATTAGCTGAACTCTACTATAGAAACAAGGCCAGAGAGAAAAGGCAGAATTTATATTTAATGCTGTTTCCAAGCCAGAGGAGCTGGTTTAACAAAAACACAGAGGAGGAAAAATACATGACCAGGAAAAAAACTTTTTACAGCCACAGTGTAACATTGATACTTTGAAAACACAAACTGTTACTGTCAAACAAAAATTATTTGAAAAATAATTTTTGATTCAAATCCTACTTGTAAACAGAGGATGATGAATATGACGTTTCTGAAGAGGAAACCTTTAACAACCTGCAGTCATCATCATATAGGAACTGATGTTTGATCAGACAGCTTAGGTCATATGTTAGCAACATCCATATTAATAATGTTAAATATGGAGAAAACAGCAAACATTGGCTTATTTTTTAAATCGCAGTCATTTGTTGTTTTTTTATTTAACTTCTCCCATTGGAAATTATAAATCACTTGGCAGTGTAACATACATTTATCTAAAAAAACTTTTAAATGTTTGGTCCCAACCCTGAATGCAGTGCAGATATTTAGGCAGTAAATGAACTTTAGTTTAGTTTTATAATGTGCGCTATGACAGGTCACAACACTGTTGCAGAGGTGACAGCAAATATGTTAGTGATTTGATCCAAAATCCTACCAGCAAAGAGAAGTAAAATAAACCCCTCTATACAAACTATTTGAATTCACAGCATTGCAGAGGTTAATGAGCAGAAAATGATATTCAACACTTGCTTAATGCAAAAAGATAGAGGTACAACTTAACAGGAATACAGTCCTAATGTGAGGGGAGACGTTTTCTTAAGTGCTACTTCTAACAAAAAATATGTCCATTCTTAAAGAGCATGTGTCTTAAAAATATTAAAAGGATTTAAATTATTTTTAATGTCGTTTTTAACAACCTGCCTCTACATTTTGATTTGACATATTCCTAAAGCCACGTCTGAACTTTTGGTCATCATGTTCAACTCTATTTGTGTAAAATAAGATCCTCCAACCGTACATACATTCAACAACATAAAAAGCAACATTCACTTTTCCAGTTTCTCTCCAGAGATTCCCTGAATTTTGTGGGAATCAAACAAAAACAACTTTAGTAGTTTTTTTTTTTTTTTTTTTTACAGGATTTCACAAATGACACTCATAACTGCTTTTTTAAATAAAATACACTTTTCTAAGAAGAAATCATCTTGGATCATGTTTAGTGGCAGAATCAGAACTCAAAGGATCACGCACTCTGATCTCCAAAAGGCTAAAACCAGTCCTTTTTTGTCCTCAATTCACTCTGTTTTCTGTCCATTTTTCTCCTTCACATCTTCAGTCTTCCCCCCCTCACTTGTCTGCTCCTTCTCCCCCCTCCTTCCCTCTCTCCTCCCCCCCTTTAAGACCTTGCCCACTATTATGCAGCCAACGGCAATGACATGCATGGTGAAGTAGATGGACGTCCAGTAGTTGATGGTGTCGGACGCCTTCAGCAGAACGAACCCCATGCACATGTAGTCGTAGGCCCTCATCTTCAGGAACCAGTGGATCCAATCGAAGATGTTTTGCCCACTGGGACCCAGCTTGGCTCTGACAGCTGACTCCATGGCAGACTCTGCTGCGATGCACAGCGGGATGGTTAGGAAAGAGAGGTAGTAACCTGCATGCAATCCATGCCAGTAGGCACTGATGAGCATGGTCCATCCAGCCCTGAGGAAGACACAAAAATAGACTCATTTTTTATCTAATTATTACAACAATTGAATGCTTCAATTCTGGAAAAAGATTTTCTTCTCAAAATTTCTCTAATTATTCAAGACGTTTTTTTTGTTAATTTGAAACAGGTAGTGTGTTATTGTGTCAAACTAGGGGGTCCTACCTGAGAGCGTAGGACTTAAAGGGGGCGTTTGGGTAGATATAGTGATGAAGCCACCACTGAACAGTCATGTTCCAGTAGCGCATGCCATGTCGGACCTTCACACAAAAGTCAGTGTTGTAACAATCAATGTTCTGGATGGTTCTGAAGTCATATCTCTCCTCTATGGTTGGATCAGGACTGTTCATGAAGAGAAAGGATAAAACATCTTTAAAACAATGCAGAAAATATACAGCGCTTAAAGCTTCCATAGATAAAGTTGTGTATAATTGTAAATTAAAAAGGAAAAGAATACATGTGGCTTTATTTGTTTGCAAATAAAAATCAGAAAAATGTGGTTTGGTTTCTTTTCAGCTTCCTTCCTTCAAACAGCTTTGTGGAACAACTTGTAGCTGCTAATACATGGACAATATTTGTCCGTGTTAGAAAGATGGCAAAATTTACTCAGACAGGATGAAGGGCAACATTGATCTTCAAGTCTAGTCACAGAATCATAAATAATGTTTGAAGCCTGAGGAATATTATTTTTTGTCCAATATTACCTGATCACTAGACATGGAAAGGTGTAACATCCAGCATGGTTTCCTACAGATGATGAATTTTAATAACCTGGCAAGCCAGATTGATAGTGTGTAGCAAACAGGTTTAGTCTGTTGCTATCAAATCCGCTGTGGTTATGGAGGAAAAGCAGAATTTTAAAAGCTGATTAGACAAAGCGACAACCAGTGCCAGCCTACCAGAGTTTGGTTTTAGTTTGGTTTCGCCTTAAACTTGAATGTAGCAACCTGATTGGACGTCCTATTTTTGGCCGGTTTTATAACGGCTGAGGCGAGAGTGGGACGAGATGGTTTCTACTGTGTCTGTCCAATAGACAAATACCATAAAAATTCATCATGCAGACAAGTCTGCATGTGCCAACCCACCTTAGACCTCGAAGGCCAATCAGGTTGATGTACATATCTCTCTCAGAAGGAGAGAAAAGCCTAAATTTAAACTGTAAACTTTAAAAAAAAAACCTTTAAAAATAGGTCAGCCCTAACACCAACCTTCCTTAGGTTGGCCAGGAGAGGCTGGGAGGCTGAATCCTTTCTTTTGTCAACATTCCCCAAAAAATACCATGTGGTTCTGGATTGAATTTCAGTGGAGTTAAAGAACATTTTATCTGATGTATTTCTTTTATTGATATAAATGGATCTTGATTTATAAACAGGCCCTACCTAACCCTGTTTTAAAGGTCTCCATTAATAACCTCATCACTGTTTCTTGGTATTCATGGTGCTGTGAAGAACTGAAACTATATTTATAAAGATGAAATGACACAGCTGCAGATTTAATCATGATATATCGTAAACAACAAAGTGACATGAGTAATATGCATGCACTCTTTTTAGATTTTTATCAGTAGATAGAATTTAGAACTGTGTAATTTTTTTCCTTCCACTTCACTTGTTTGTCACTGCTTGGTGTTTGTTTCTTATATTAAATCCTTATGAAATAAATAGAAGTTTTTGGATTTGACCAAACAAAGAGTTTGAGAATGTCAGAGTACTAATTTGGCCATTACTGACAGAAACACGAGGTAATGACCTGTAGTCGACAGTGGGTCCTCCTCCAGGTTTGGAAAGGGCCTTTTCTGGATAGCAGCCGAGGCCGGCACTGATGCAGCCTGCCTCAGCGCCGCACCACGCCGCATAGAAACGCATTCTGAACACAAAGAACACTGCCACCATGTAGAACAACCTGGTGATAGAGAGAAAGGAAAGAGGGAAGCTATTAATTTCTCTCTCACAAACAAACGTTATCCAGGCTTCATTACATCCTCCTCTGTTGGTGTGATTTACCTATAAAATACTACTGCTATGCAATCATTATAATTCAAGGACAATAAAAGAAATTAAATCAGGAGCATTTTTAATTTCCATTTGTAATTTGCAAGTTGAATTTCACCAGTTTAGGTTTATTATTACAGTAATATAACAAATCTACAACAGATGTATTGGGAAGTACATCATAGTGAAAAAAACAAATACCTGAAGAAAATGTTCTCATCCAGGAACTCATCTGTGCGTACATAAGAAAGTGGGAAATAGTGGTTGACGGCCAAAAACAGAGCCCCGAAAACAGGGACCATCTTCACTCGATGCAGACAGGGCTCCCAGCCGGGCAAAGCCAGCGGCCTCGGCTGCTTCAGCCAGTCCATGTAAGTTTGGAAACGGAAGAACGGGCCTTTGGGAGGATGGAGCAATGAGACAGAGGAGAAAACACGGCGGTGAGAAGAGAGGGATCAATACGAAGGGCAAGAAGGATAATGAATGTAAAAAAACAGCGGAGAAAAAGGTAGTGGAAAAAAAAGCAGGCAAGAGGGGCGAGGAAATATATAGATATAAAAAAATAATATTAAACAATATGGACTCACAATGTTGGACAAGTGGCAGAAAGTAAGACAAAGAGAGACATTGGTTATAAATCATGCAAAAGAGAATGAACAGTGGCTGCAACATCAGCACACACACAAAACTCAGGATTTTGCTGGTAAACATATAAGCAGACACAAAGAAGTGAATTAAGAGAGGACAATTCTGTTGACTTACCGGTCATTATACCGACATAACAGTAACTATAGGACAGAATGTCATAGAGGGAAGGTTCTTGAGACAGACCACCAATGACTGGAGACTTAGCAAAGGAGCTCACATCTCTCTTTTTCTCAACGTGGAAGCTGTGTACCTCATTGGCAAGACTGACCATCTAAGAGGAAAACAAATATCAAAACGAAACACAAGGGAATGACATGTCAGGAAAAAAGCGGTGTGTTATCATACAGAATCTTCTGGAGCAAATATGTTCAAATGCTTCACTACCTTCAGTGTGAGAAGCAGCTGGACAGCGTTGGCAAAAGGTGTTGGCTTGGGAAGATCAAAATTGGTGACCAGTCGGAAAAACAGGAGGTAGAGAAAAGACCAGCTGAGGCTCAATGCTGGGGCAAGCCTAATGAGAAGAGACAAGTGCCATTTTTACAAACCAGGCATAAAATTATGACCACCTGCAGGTAATCTCTTTAGTTTGATAGGATATGCAAGCCGGGATTTAACGTTGTGCCTTCACTCTACAATACAGCATTTAATTTTTTTATTTCTTGTTTTTAACACTGTCACTTATTCTGTTATTTTTATACACTTTTTAAGGTCCACATTTGTTTGCTACCGTAAAACAACAATTTATCCATTGTGAGACAATAAAGGGATTATATATATATATATATATATATACATATATATACAGAAATATATGTAGTGTATATATACTATTTATTCAGCAATGTCTTACAAAGCTCTGATGCCATCACGAAGTCATCCCTTGTGCCATGATGTCAACACTTTGTCGATTCAAACAAAAATATGCCTCACAGTGCTGAGGCATCCTTCTTCTGTTCTGCCTAAACCAGCAGGTTAGCGTAGCAAGTCAACCTCCCCAAGATGGTGCCTGTAATTTCTGTGCCGTGACTGTCAATGCGGGGTCTATTGTTATATCATGTCTATGGTTTTCACACCATGGATGCACACTACATTTCAAGGTGCAGAATGGGACATTTTTAGTCCACCACTCTTTAAATCACTACACATTCGGACACTCCTCTAAAATGGCAGACATTCGGATACAGCCAGTATGATGTAAGGTCAATAAACTTTGGGTTCTCTAATCCCAAGGTTATTTTGACACATACGTCAAATCTAAGTGTTTAAGGCTGTGAAGAGCTTTTATTAGCATGTTAAAAAGGAGCAGGGATGGGCCGCAGAGAAAAACAATGTGTTTGAGATGAAAGCTTTGCTTCTAAAAACCCAGATCTATATTCAATCAAGAATCTGTGGGAAATAATTGGCAAAAAGTCTAATCCATAGAGGCCTTAACTCGCAGGTACTTGAGTTATCTGCTGCTCATATTCGGTGTCTTAAATCACTACATATCAGGCAAGAGCTTTGGTAGGAAATATTAGGCTTACACCTCTTTAGGAAAGTGGTCATAATGTTATTTCTAATCTGCGGTTTTAGGAATACTGAAAAAGACAGCATATTTGTAGTAGAGAAAGTAGAGAAAGTGAACACATATAGTGTAGTTGCAGAGAGGTAAACCACTGTAAGATTATTCTACAACTACAAAAAATTTTTACAATCCTTTATTTTGGTCACTATTCGCTGCTGGCCAGTATTAAACAAAAAGCAAAAATGCCGTCAGATTAAAGTATGTTCTAATCTGTGGCAAAAAAAAAACATTTCCCATACCCAACAGCTGAGACACAATCATTTAAAACTGTTCTTGCACCTTAAAGATGCAAAGATGGTAAAGATCACTCACCGCCAGCTGCTCTTGATGATGATCCATGTTCCTATCACTGTCACCAGGGAGTGCAGTGTATGGATGTGACACAGGGCGATGGTGATGGACAGGCCCAGAAGAAGAGCCGTCACCTGCTTCACAGGCGGACCTGAAGCAAAGGCAAAAAACTGTTTTACTGATAGAAAAAAATAGAACTTTAAATCTAAAGGGCGGCATTAAAAAAAACTGTAAATAAAAGGGCCACACATTACAAAAACAGGAAAAACCCACTGCTGACATTATCTCTGTAAATTCTTTATATCAAAGCTGTACTTTGCATATCTATTCTAGTGACTGACAGACGTGTAGTAGACAAGGAAGAACTGAGGGGATGGAGGAATATAAATAGAGTACTGCTAAACAGACGAGGGTGATAAAGCATAGATGAAGGATTAATGAGACACTTAAAATGTAGGTTTATAAAGTAAGATCATTAGAAAAAAAGATACCAAAAAATGTATCTAAAGTTCATCTAGTTAATTTCTCCATTTAACTTCAGAGATACAAGGTCCTACAACTGCAAATGGTGACAGTTTATCTATTGTGATCATTTCCAGTCTCAAAATGAACACCTTCAGGAAATAAATACAACAAATGAGGAAGAAAGAGGCTCTGACAAACGAGATCTAACCAGTACCAAAGAAAACAACGAAACTATTGATGTTGTTCGAACTTAATTTATTTTTATTTTCCCTGTGGGAAGTTATGCAAAATACTCACTGAGGTAACGAAAGAGAAATCCAACAGGGATGGTGGCAGCAAGGACGCCCAAATACACTAGCTCTTCTCCAGTCATCTTCCTGCTGATGGGGAAACACATCAGTTTAACACTTTACCAGCTCACAAGGAGAAGCAGGTCAAACACACCACTGATTTGACAGTTTGATCTCAGTACCTTATGATTAAGGCCAAAAACGCAGCGTATACAGATACACTATAGTGTTTTGAGTAAATGCACCTTATTCTAGGAAGTGTAGCATATACACGTTTTATGCTTTATATCCTCAGCTTTTTTCAACTCTTCAAAAACAATGACAGACATTGTCCAACAGTGATGTAATTTTTGCAGCTCTGTCTCATACTACCTGCAATTATTCCTTAAATTTTAGGCCAGGAGAAAAACTGCCTTGGAAGTTGTAGTAAAACACACCCGAGGTTCTTCTGAGTAAACAAATGTCAGTATTTAAAAAGCATGATTCCAGCTGTATATACATAGATTTACATTTGATTGCTTTTAGGTGGAGCTGCATAATTAGCCTCTATTAAACCCCAATATTACATTATGCAGCACTTCTATAGTAGAAAATTAATGACTATCATCCATTCATTTCACAATAACGTGTCCATTTTAAGAGATTCGATGTGCCATAGTACCTTTATTAATGTGGGTAAATTTTGTTTATTTTTCTCCTAGTTATGATGGATTTTAATGTAGAACCTGAATGTACCCTGAAGCAAACACTGTCCGTTTAAAGGAATGCCAGCTTCAACATGTGCTCCTATGGTTTCAGGGCTTGCTCCAACCTGAATGCTCCCTCTGCAAACTGTTGTGGCAACAGATCAACGCATTTTAAAGCAGTTGGTCCCAGAATGAAGCTTAAACTTTCCGGATTTAGGGTCTTCCTGGAAACAAATACGTGACTTCTACAAATACAGGACTCCTTAATTATCTTAACCGTTTGTAGCTGGTCAATTAACGCGTGATAAAAGGTTTCTGGGTTTGTAGCAAACAGCTACGTGGTTAATATTAGTCTGTAATGGTTAAAAAATCCTGCCGAGACTAGTGTTTAGTTATTTTAAATACTTAGCCGTTTATGTTCGTGAATAATCAAAAGCATTGCTGCGTAACGGTTAGAAGTTGCATACGACTTGACATGCTGTTAGCAGAGCTGTAGCATTTAGATACTTACATTCATGAAGATATGTGGACAAACGGTAGGACACCACTATCTTCGCTCCAACGCCGAACTTGATGTTCCTCTCACACCTGACCGGTGAAAGATTTCACTTCCGGGTTTAAAATAGGATATTTGAAAGGCTTTTTTTTAATTTGATGGAGCAGAAGACGTCACATCTGGACTACACCATTCTGATTACAGGGGTGTTTGCAAAATAGTTAAGATTTGTTTTAGAGCATCTAATGTTCTTGTTTGTAGAATTTAAAAATGTATATAAAATAAAAATGGTTTCAAGATTTTGTTTTAGAGCATCTACTGTTCTTGTTTATACAATTTAAAAACTATAAAATAAGTACTAGGGTCATTTTATACAAAACCCCCACAGCTCAGTCTACCCAATGGTTCATATTTGTATCATGTTTTTATCCATTTAAATTGTCCAGTTACACTACTTTCATTCATAAAACATAAGAAAAAATAACAGGGACCACATTTAATTTTAGTTAACATGAAATTAAAACAAACAGCACAGTTCTTTGGTTCAACCCATTTTTTTATTAAGAATTTAACAGAACAGGAAGCACATATAACACTTCCTGGACCACATCCTTCTTAATCTTCCTCCTCGTCGTCAGCTCCTCCAGCTCCACCCTGACCCTTCTTGGCGTTCTTTCTCTTGACGCGGCCAGGACGTCCACCACCGTATGGTGACCTCAGGGAGAAGTCGATGTGCTTCTGACTGTCCAGGCGAACCACAAAGGAGGGGATGTTCACCACCTGTTTGCGCACACTGCAAAGACAATACAAAGAGTTGAGAACTTTCAAAACATCAATGATTCAGTTATCAAAAATATAACCACCATCACCAATAGGGACTATAAAAAATCACAAATCTGCTCGGGTCGGTTTTTGTCAATAAGAATTATATTATAATTATCTGTCAGTTTTTGAAACATTAGTTATCTGCATCAGTAATTCTGTTTTATAGATCAACTTAACATGTTTTGGAACAAATAGCCTCCCACATTTTACTCGTATACCCTTTCCAAAAGTTGTTCCATCTGAAAATAAATGTATTCAATTTGTATGAATAAAGCAGAAAATAAAATCCTGCAGTTTACCAATTCTTAAGTTTCTTTTTTTATCTAATTATATATTTCACATTCATTATATTGAAACATTTTTAACCCTACATCTGTTAATCTATCCATATTTTCATCCATAGTCTTTAGAATTGACACTACTGTAAATGTAGATCAGGCTTCATTGACGAGGAATTCTTGACACCACAGAAAATCTGAATACAAATCTTAAATCATCAGCCTGAGTGTTCAGTAGCTCATAATTGATGGTGCAGTGAGTAGCACAATTGCCCGAGGTGCAATCCCCCACACCTTACCTCACAGCCGCCACCACATATTGGAGCATCCTGAGCCCACAGATGGCAGGATTGGCTCTGGGCAATAACTACTGACAAGGTATACGGCTTTGATACCGAATTGACCTTGCTGAAATGATTAAGTGCTCTCAACGCAGAGTGCTACAGCATGGGGGTCCTCTGATGAAAGAGGAAGCAGCGAAAAAGTTTCTCAAAAAACTTTTCAGACCCTGCTGTGGTTAGATCAAGTCTTTCAGTTGTCCTAAAACTTACCGAATGTGCCTCTGGCGGATCAGGACACGGGCATGGTGGATACTCTTGGCAAGTCCGAGCTTGAAGACCTGAGTCTGCAGCCTCCTCTCCAAGAAATCCTCAACCTTCAGGCCCAGGATATAATCGAGCTTCATCTTACCCTCATCCAGCACACCAATCCTCACCAGACGCCTGAGCAAGGCATTACCTGGCGGGGAAAAAATGCTTACATTTAAAATGAGACACTAAGAGCTAATGATTTTGATACAGCACCAAAAATGGCCTCATTGACGAGGAATTCTTGACACCACAGTTAAGTCTGACTATTTAGAGTTAAATCATCGGCCAAACTCCAACTTCTTCTAAGCAAGGTGTTCCCAAAAGTGTTCCTCAGGCACTCCTGTACTGCATGTTTTAGGCATTTCCCCATTCAATCCACCAGAAAAGAATGTATGATTAACAGGCCTCTGCAGCACTTGATCGCAGATGAGTCCAAAAGTGAATCTGGTGCACTGGAAAAGAATTATCTAAAACATGCATGGGTCCTGAGAGACCAGGGTTGGGAACCACCGTTAGCTGCATCTCATACCTTCAAACAGACGCTTGGGGTCCTTCTCGTCCAGAGTGAGAAGCTCTCTGGCAGCCTTACGGATCTTAGCCAGGGTAAACTTGACCCTCCACACCTCACGCTTGTTCCTCAGACCATACTCGCCTGCAGAGAAAATTAATGACTGTTAAAACAAACAAATGAGAACTCAACCTAATTATAGTGAGACTGAACCAAGCCTACCAATAAGCTTTAACTCCTGGTCGAGACGAGACTTCTCGAACGGACGGCGAGGAGTAACATAGGTCTTGCGACAAACCCAACTTCTGGCAACGGGCATGGTTGCTTACAGCGCCTACAGAGAGAAGACAGAAACATTAGTCCACAGCAAACAATTTGATCAAAACAAGTTCTGTCAAAGTCAACTAGCTTTGTATGGAACATCAAAACTTGATTTACTCATCTAAAAAGCTGATTTATTCCAACTTTCCACACATTCAGCCAATGGTGAGTTTCAATTGTCAGTGCAAGCTATCCAACTTGCATGTTGTAAACCCATGAAAGGTGGAATTGCAATTGGAAGTTAGTTTAACAGGATGGTATCAAACTTCTCCATACAGAATATGCTCTTCTCTCTACAATAATTTAAACTTTACTACTTTGTTCATCTGTATAGGTACTAAAGATGCATGTAGCGAGTCAGTATTTCAGGTACCATCTGTCAATGTCATATATATGCATAGAAAACATACAACTGTTTTAAATAATTGTAATTTTGTAAATGTGGTTGCAAATGGTCATGAATAATGCAACACATTTTCAGAGGATAACTAAAAACTATGAATGTCAAACCTCTGCATTTAAACAGACAGGCCTCATTTAGAGAAAAGTGGTCTCAGTGATATGAAGCTGGAGCACTTTTGCAAACTAGTTTTAAAAAAAAGGGGCTCAGAAAATACATTTCAAAAACTAAACAGTTTACTTTTATAGTATAAGGAACATGCATTATGGATAAATGGGATTTTATTCAGATAACCTCAAGTTTGTCAAAGTATAATTACAGTATGCTTACTATTTAAGCCTATAAAAAGCTGTAGTTATTTTATTTCCCACTTAAATTTGATTAGTTTAGTCAGATTGGAGCTTGGAATAATTATGCATCATTCAATTAGCTGAAAATAGTCTCAAAAACACCACTGGCATTTCAGTGATATAAACTAAAACTACTTTCAGTCTAGTGGTAGAAGTAATTCAAAATAGCCATTTTATTAAAACAATTCCCTCATCACCTTTCAATTAAGTTTAAAATGTATACAATTTACATTTAATTAGCAACTGGCTTCGTGATGACACTACGAGTACTTGGTGATTTAAGTGCGCATACTTTAACTATACGCATTAACTGGCTTATAAAGAATATCGGCGGATTTATAGGACTAAATGCTTTAAAGTGTGCAAATAGGTTAGAGTTTATTGGGAGAAATAAAACATTTGCTAAAACATGGCTTCGCCATCCAGACAAGGCCGCTTCCGAAGCGCACCACGTTGTTTGGGGAGAAGAACTAGCGTTAGCTTCCACGAGGATACATTTCTCAAATGCCATCAAAGAGCTAAGAAATATAAGATATACGTTTTAGTTTACTTTATCCACTATTAAATACCAAGTATACTTCGGATGGAAGTCAAAAATGTGTGGATGTCAAGCTTAATAAACCAGGACGAACTTACCTCGCCCAGGCTCGCTTAGTAAAGAGGAAGACGAATGGAGTTCATGTTGTTTTATATGGGAGACAATCACACTACATCTCCCATCATGCCTCTCGCTGTCAAAACGGAAGCTAACTGTATTTTGTGTTGCCCCCTATTGGTTAAAATACAAATTATCTCAGAACATTAAACGTGTTCTTTTACCTCACCTAATGCGTTTGTTTTCTGTTGTTTTTGTAATAATTATTATTTGTTTAATCTGTTCTTTATGTTAAACGGAACCAGACCTAAATAAGTAAATCATACACTTTAATTTTTTCCCCTGCAACTATTGTGTAATCAGAAATTAAACGAAGCATTTTAAAGTCGCGCAAGTATTACCTGAACTTGCATTAAATGGTGTATAAGTGTGTATAAAATAAGGCGATAAAAGTGAAGCAGAAGGACATCGCTATTTATATAACTCTGAAAGGAGACCCCCAGCATGTGTTTCTGTCTGTCATCCTGTGTGATCAACCGATGGACACAGCACACTTGTTTTCTCTTTCAACGCTCTATAGTCACTCTATTCCTCACAGAAATATTGTTCTTCTAAGGATTTCCTTTGAGTTTTTTTTTTTTTTTTTTGCAGTCACCTGTAAGGTGAAACACAGCTTTGACCCCTTTTCCCTTTATCCACCAGGATCTTCTGTTACTTCTTTTTTTTTTGTGGATTTTTTTCTTTATTTCCAGCTTGATTGCCTGATCTTCAGTTTGCATAAAAAGCTTTCCCCCTGCCTTCCTTTCCCCCTCCATCACCCGGGCTATGCTTTCCTCACCCACTGTGATCCTCCAGCCTTATGGACTTCCAGTCTACCCACAGACAACCACATGCTACCCCAGCATAGTTCAGGTAAATGCTTTATTTGCTCTGCAGTTTAACAGTGTTTGCTTTTGTTTGACCTGATGATCCATCATAATGTATAATATTATAGGTAATATTCTGAGTTAACAAGAAACAATCCTGATTCATGCATGTTCTAGTAGTTGGATTCAGAAAAAAGTTTTGTCAAGTAAGAATCTAAATTAATTGGCCCTATATTTTTTATGAAAAACATAAAATGTTTTTGAGCAAATTTTTAAAGTGGATATTTTAGCCCGATTTAATATTCTTTCTATTTTTTAAATTAACAAAAAGAAAATATCTGGAGAAGAAAAAATAAATCCTATCTGACACTTAAATGTACGGCTAGCATAGACAGTAGGTGGCGCTGTTTCTTTTGTAAAGTCCATGTCATTTTCAGTCAATATTGACCTTTACAGTTTTACTTTAAAAATCCCTCATAAAGGAAAACTTTTGCATGTTAGCTTCAGTCATATCAGGAGTCTGATATGTTAGCGTTGCCTTGCTATTTTTTGTTTTATTCTTTTGTTTTGTTACCATTAAACGCAATTGGTCCCACCTGGTAAAACTGTTCTACCACCTCTTTATTGATTTCAAAGTTTACAAAAAGTTACCACCCTTTACATTACATTATTTTTGATCCCCTTAATATAAAAAAGTAGGGCAAATATTATATTTAACTCATCTTCATTCAACAACGACAAAAGAAAAAGGCCTTTATTTGAATGTAATGTTTTGCCTTTATAATATACAGTAATTACCAATTTCTGATTGTTTTTTTACCCCATTGATGTCCAGATTTAATTTATGTGCACCCTGGTCAGCAAACTTTAAGGTGCAATTTTTTTGTTTGCATTTAACCAGTTAAAGACGCATCAATTATCTGAGAATATTTTGGTAAATAGATTTTTTTCCACCAGAAGCAAGTGTCTTTTTTTTATGTTACACACAAAAGAACATTTCCCTTTAACTGTAATTTTAAAAATATATTTTAATGTGTGAAAAATACAACATAAAATAGGTAAAGAGCAATAAAAAACTGACAAACTTTCTCATTTACAAACAATCTCAGCATCTAGACCTGTATTACCAAAGCAAACTAAGGCTGGATGATGTGGCCAAATCCTTTTGATATTGATATAAAAACAATAAAAGCCTCAAAAAGTGTGCCAACAACAAATGCCTGTACAAACTCATGAAAATTATTTTGCCATGTTTACAAAATTCCTCCAAAATAATTAAGAAATATTTGCTTTAAAGAAAAAGCAAAAACACATAAAACTACATGTTTGATATTTATTGAAATATCCCATATGTGTTAAACAGTCATATAGCTGATATTAAATTAAACAATTTGACAATATCAATATATATATATATATATATATATATATATTTGATGATGTCATTATCCATATATCTTTGGGGTGAGCATTGTTAGCAGATCTCAATGCACTAAACAAAAAGCTTTGTTGCATCCAGAAGAACCATTACTCCTTCAGTTAAAGAATAAATTAGTTTAACAGGAAATTTGAAATGCTTTTTTTCTGCTTTGTTTTTACATCTGGTTTATTTGAAATATACACTTTTGGATTTTTGTGATTTTAAAATAAAAATTAAAAATTAGTAATAAGTAATATGTACAAAAGAACAGGCTCTAAACCAAATATCATTTTAGGCTAAGAGGTAACAGAGTCAGATTAGAAAAAAATCAGGAAGGATAAGTTATCTTTAGTCTCTGAGTGATACCAGCAGCAAGTGTCCCTGAAATACCACTAATGCCACAATGCTGCTGGTATCTCTCCACCTTGTCACTGAGCTGCTCACCAGCAGTATTTTTAGTCCTCTTCTCCTGATCTGATAATCAGAAGAAGTTCTGTCGCCTGCCTTGTGTTATGCACTCAGCTTTACTGAAGGCAGCAGTAAAACTTGCCTGATGAAGCATTTCCATGTGTTCAGTTTAGCAGCAAGAATCAAAAGTCACATTTCATGTAATATTTAATAAATGGAAAAAAATTAAAGCGACAAATTGTGGGTATAAATGCCTATACAGTAAAATATTTCTGCTTAAAGTATCTTATAGTGATTTTTACATACTTTTAGGTACAGTTTAATTGTAGCATAATTTGTTTCGGACTTAAAATCCACTGATTCTCAAGTTGCAGCAGCTGTGATTTTAAGTCCACCCAGGGAAAATTGAAACATGCCTTCATCTGTCTTCTCCCTTTCCTCCCCAACTCTTTTTTTACAACCCATTTGCCAGCATTTTAATCTAAAAAGACAGAGACAGCCTTACATGGAGGGAGCAGAAAGCTCAGTTTCCCTTAAAAAGCTACGTGTTGCTGTGAGACTCGTTGCTGAAACGTCAACATCTGCAGTCAGAGCGGCCTTGTTGAGTAAATCCTGCAACAGCTGCCACCTTGGGCACCTGGCTCCGAGCTGTCGGCCTCTGATGGCCCAGCGACAGCTGAAGAAGGAGAGGAGAGAAAAAGCAAACAAATGGGGATTTAAAAAAAAGACCTGCGTGTCTGCATCTGCTGACTGTGTGATACTGAATCAGGCTGGGAGTAAAAAACAAAAAAAGGAGAGAGCGTGGCTGACAGTGATATATAACAGACGGTTTGCTTTATATCTGTGAAGCCACAGGATGGCTGCTTTTCAAGATAAAAAGTTAACGTTGAGCTGTTTCAGAGCACAGAGAGAGTATTACCGTAGGTTTAAAGAGGGCTGCATGTAAATATGGCTTTTTCACTTATTTCACAAAATCATGTATAATTTAGCTAAATGTTTACTTCCTTTGTTTTCTTTCACAAAGTCGTAACAGATTATAATGCAGAGTTGGCAACTAAAAAGATAAAGATTTTTACTGATCTTGATCCTACAGATTTCTTTTGTTGTGTCTCATTGGTTTGTGAGCTTAAGATCAGGAAAAAGTTTGGTTAAGCACCAGGAAAATGATCCAAAAAACAGCAGTGAGGCCAGGTGTCCAAGTGTGAAAAAGGCTAAACAAGTCTGCAGAACTGGTCTGTTAGACATGAAGGTCGTCATAAACAGAAAGGCATACAGCTCTGATTTAAACTGCATTTGCACTTTTTTCGTTTTTTTTTTTTTTAGCAGCTCTGTTTTATCTTTGGACTTGAAACAGCAAACATTCTAATTTGAACCTGTTTGTTGTGCACAAAATTACCCCATTCTGTGCTGTCAGTTGGATGCATCATGAACCAAAAACCTTCTAAACTAACCCTGAGGAGGTTGAAATAAGTCTGGCTTAAATTTTACCTGCCATGACATCTACATTTTAAAAAATTCTCCAAAAAGATCCCTTTTAGAAGCCGTTACTACAATTTACAAACATCTTAGACTTTGATTTAGACTTAGACAGATTTTATTTGTCTTTTTTTTTTTTACACAAGTGTAAAACAAAAAATAATTTGGAACAGCTCTCTGGACAATTTCATCTTTTTTAAAAGTGCAGCCGTGATAAATAGTAATAAATAAATAAATAAATATATAAAACAGTAATATAAACATATGACTTTAAATTTAAAGTTCTAAAATTTTTATGTATGTATAATAGTAAAATATCTTAATTAATATATCTTTATAACTTGTAATGTTTTTTTACTTATTTTGAAAGAAAACCACGGTGAAACTTGCTCTCTGTTGGGCTCAGTGATCAGACTACCTGCACTTATGCTATTTGTACTCTGGATGAAAATGCATAAAGAATTCAACCTTTCATATGAAATGCAGTGAAAGTGAGTGGTATAAACTTCTTTCTGATCGTTTTTATCCTATTAAACCAGTGGAACACAGAGTATTTAATGTATAAGATGGAAGAGAATGCATTATTACATAACAATTACACATTTAAAGTAATTTAACTTGAAAACTGTATGAAATACAATGCAATAAATTGAAATCTAAATAAATCATTTTTTTTATTAAAATAGGTAAATTTTTTTCTTTAATTGAGAAGGTAAGTGAGGCACTTTGCCAATTGAACAAGAACATTTCACTCAAAATAAAAACTAAAAAACAATTGCATTGTATTATTTCAAGTGCATATTATCTAATTTTAAGAGTATAAAACTCATTCCGTTTACAAATCATTTACCAATTAAGGATAAATACACATCATTTAAGAAATTGTAACTCATT